GGTCAGGGTGTGTGAGCAGGTAGCCAGAGTCGATGATGCAGAGCGGATGCGTCACCGCCGACGGGAAGAAGGAGGCGTTCGGCACCGCTCCGTTGTACACACGCTCGATCCCCCATGGCGTTTCCTCGGCTAGCGGCTGCGTCCGCGTGGCGGAGCTGCTCGGTCCTGGGTAGCGCCGCTGATCCTCCTCGACCCTTAGCCCCGAGCGCTCCGCCTGCTCCTTGAACAATCGCGCCTCGTTGGGGTCCGCGACTTCGACCACAGTGAAGGTGTTGTGGGCTGCTCGGATTGTCATAGTGACGTTTCCGCCCATATCCGCCATCTGCGCCACCCGGTTTGAAGCTCGCGCGCCACGCGTGGTCCTCGCCACGTTGGTCTCGCCGGTGACAACCAAACGAACTTTGGGTTGTTCGTTCGCGCGCCGGTCTTTCGTGGTAGGCGCCGCCGTGGCGGACGCAAGCAGGGCAAGAAAGAGGACAAAGGGCATCTTGCTGTCTCGGATCCTGTCTCGGCTTGCGCGCGGTGTGTTGGCGGAGCTCGATTCGCCGCCGACATTGAACCAGGTTCGTTGTGAAGAGCTGGGGCGCGCCAGCCACCCAAGAGCCTAGGTAGGTGCGGATCGGCAAGAGCGCAATATCTTTTTGCCCTCTATCACCTTGGGTTGTAAGAACTTGAAACACACCACGCAGGGGCACAGCAAGCACGGATAGCCGTTGAGGAGAAAGGGCGTAAGCCGTAAGGTGTATGCGCAGCCACGGCCGTGCCGCGGTGGGCGCGCCACCTCCCGCGAGCGCGGCGGGATCGGAATTGCGGCCGGAGGGAAGGGCGAGCCGCCGCCGCCGCCGCCATATACCATCAGCGACGACCGCGGCTCGCCCCAAACGCCAGGCGCTGGATCGGCAGTAGGGCTTGGGCGGCGCAGCGTAGGCCTCGAGCCACACGAGTCGCCGACAACCCCCCCTCATCGACATGATGGCCGCACCCGCTGCCGGCCGATGCAAGCTGCCGCCTCCACCGCACCAGCGATACTGGCCGCGGCTCGCCGCCACGCGCCGGCTCGGAAGAGGGGCTATCGGATAGCCTGGTGGTCGGATAGCTCGCTTTCAAAAGCGGATTCCCCCCGCCGACATTCTGTCTCGGCAGCGCGAGGACTGTTTTCTTTCTTTCTTGAGGGCACGGGACTGGCGAGTCGTAGTCGTCGAGAAGCGGGTCGATGCCCGCGGCCGCCAGGACTTCGGGCCAGCGGACCGACTGCAAGTAGTCGTCAGGGTCGATCGACCTGGCGTTCGTTGAAGACACTGATGATGGCCTCGATGTTGATCACCAGGTCGCCATATCGGAAGTGGAGCGGCTCGCTCGACGTGACGATGTGCACGATGTTGTGCAAGGCGCAGTGGGTCAGTCGGAGTGACTCCTCGCACTCGATCTTCTGCACCCACTCCTCGCACTCGATCTTCTGCACCCACGCGAGGTTTCCGTGGCTCTCGAAGGCGTCCTCGACCAGTTGCAAGACAACCTCTTTAGAGACGACGTCGCTCGCGCGGGTCTCCCTCTTGACGTTAGACACGAGCATCAGAAGGCAGCGCGAGAGGTGGTCGTAGAGCGCCGACCGGCAGGTGCTGAAGCAGCCGCAGTAGCGCTCCTTCAGGTTTGCCGCGCATTCGGCGGGGCAAAAGCACTTGAACTGCCGGTGCGTCGAAAAAATCGCCATGGCCGACATTTTGGCGTCCCCTCGAATCCCGGGGCACGCGTGGCACAGGCGCTCGAAGAGGACGCCCGACCCGATCGGAATGTCGGCGAGCTCGTGCTCGTTCAGCCAGTTTAACCCTGGTAGGTGGACAAAAATATGCGTTTTTCGGCCTCCCCTCCCTAACATTAGCCGGCCAAAATGTACTCTGACCGGTTAATATTAGGGAGGGGGGGGCGGTCGGGTGTCAGACCTAGCGCTAGGCGTGCGAGGCTGACGTATTTTGGACAATCCACCTACCAGGGTTAAGGGGCAAAGTCGGCTTTCCCAAAAAGGCCTGTTTCTACACCAGTGGCGCCCAGTCCGACGGCCTGACGGCGACTTATAGACTTTTCACGGGGGGGGAGCCTGCCCACGTGTTGCGTGTGACCTATGCGCGTGTAGCGGTTGCCGTATCGCCAGTGTTGAAGTGAATGTTGAAGTTATCTTTCGCTGGGGGCAGCCCGGCAAGGCTACTGCGAGGCCGCAGCAGCAACACACAAATACGGCCGCCGGGGACCGATCGGCCTAGACGGCTAGCGCATGACCAGGGGAGCTGGCAGACGGTCCTCACGGACCAAAACACATAGCTGAGAGGGCACCTCCGACGCTCAGCCACCAGTAGCAGTATATCTCTCAGCTGAGCCTGGAGTTGAGGCTCGGGCCGTCACGGGAGGGGAGCACGGTTTCATCGGAACTGTCGCGCAGACACGAGCGGCAGCACGCGCCAGCGCGGTGGCAGGGGTCGAGTTGCGATCGCCTATGCGTTGAACAGAGGAGTACTGGCTCCTCTCTGCCAAGAGACTGCAGTGGCATGCCGCCCGCTCAGACCAGCCGCAGTGACTGCGCCGCGAGCGCCGTGAGCGTGTCCAGGCTGACAGACAGGCGCAGGCAGCGAAAGCCGAGCGCAGGCGCAGCGGCGCACGCAGCGAGGCACCTGTCAAGCAAGATCCACACGCCGGGAGCGTCGTTCAATTGAGGCGCGCCAGATCCTCGCGAGATTCTCTGACGCAAGCTTTTTCCTACATACCCGGGTATCTATTTTTGTACTATATCTGCTGTACTTTGGGGACGTTATATATTGTAAGTACCCTTCTTCAAAGTACAGAAGAGAGTACATATTTCCCCTCTGCGAAGCCTGCCTTTACATAGTAAAAAAGAAAACCAGGGCGGCTTTTCCCCTGTTCACGCCCTCACACAGGCCAAAGTTGGACCGCGCGAGATCGCCCCCTCCCGAGGGGAGGGGCCCTCGCGCCGTCCGTCGCGGGCCCGAGCTGTAAGTGTATGTCCGTGGACGCGAGGCGCGAGGCCTTGCGCCCCATGCGGTACGGGGCCGTGAAACCCATCGCCTGGGGGTGCTAGGACACCGAGAGACATGGTCCAGAAGTGCCAGGCACACCCACAGTGGTCAACACGAGAACGCCGAAATCGTGACCTCGGAACGCGGTCACGGCAAATCTGACTAATCTGTAACAACCGTTAATACGGATGGCTCACGCTGGCGCATGGCCTCGCCGCTGCTACCCTCCCGACCTCAGGTGAGCAGACAAGATCCCCTGAGCTGCCGGCGCTCTCTGATCGCCCAGATCGCAACTGCCGTGGCAAAACTGCGAGCTCCCGAGGACGTCTGGCGCCGAGTGCGTCTGGCACCGGGCACGGAAGCTCGCACTCGGCCGCACGCGATAGTGCTGCCGCGAGAGCGCCTGCCAGGTACGACATGTCTCGTGTAGACTCCTCCTGGGTCATGGTCGGTCATATGCAGGACGGCCAGAGTCGCCCACATCGCCTACGCGGTCCCGAGTGTGGTCAGGCTGATACACCGCGACTCAACGGTTGAGTGCGGCCAGCGCACACAAAAGTCGTCGACTGCGGCCTGGCGCGGTGATCATAGGTGCTGGAGACCAGGCAGTATGAGCCTGTAACTGGGCACGCATGAACTCGGTACCTACATTCGCAGAGGCCCGGCAAGGATGGGATCTAGTAGAGTGCTTGCGCACTGAGACCGTGCTCCGTGGGTCGCTGGAATGACCTGAAAGGCATCCTCAGTGCCGCTGCTCGACTCTCCAGTGTCACAGCCGATGCCTGTGACCTGCTCACCGCCGCACGCAGGTTGAGATCCGCGCCTCCTCGGGTGTGCCCTCATAGACAGCCTTCGGCGGCGCGTAGCGACGCGAGAGCCGCTCCTACACAGGCGTGTACGGTGAACCACCGACGGATAGAGCACAGATCTATGGTCACGCCGGCAGCCTCTGAGGTCGAGACGAGGCTGCCGGCGTCGCCGCTGCAGCTCTGGGCATCACCTGCACAAGCCAAGCAGACTTTGTACAAAAGCGGAGGCGGGTCGACGCGCCGCGCGCTCACATACTTGGGCTCCCATCTCGGCGCGCGCGAGTCAAGGCCGAACCGACTAGCTGCCGCCGCGGCGGGTGTGGCTGGGATGCAGGCAGGCCTGTGGCCGGCGCTCGGCAAGCTGTGGCGCCGGTGCGCGCTTCTTGCAATCGGCACGCGACAGATTTCTTTTGGCGAGTAAGAATCTCTGCGGGGGCGCGGGGGCCCTAGAGGGCATCCATGCCCGCCGCAGGCGCCGATTTTTTCGCCATTTTTTCTTTTTTCGCGCGATTTTTTACTTGTTTTCATGGGAATTCGCTGTACTTGCGGCCATGCTATCACGCCTTGCGACAGCCTGTCGGCGCTGCTGACCGTGCCCTGCTGCACAGTTGATCACCTGCATAGCTCGCGGCCTTAGTATCAAGCATTCAGTGACGACCTGATCGTACGGTCAGTAGGAAGGTGTCCTTCCAACGTGTGCACGCTTCTGGCGCAATGCGCGTCGCCTCGGATTGGCTGCTGGCACTCTCGAGGCTATGCCTACGCAGCCTCGCGCGCATGGGCAGTCAAGAGGGACCACGCACCTTCTCAGGACAGCGCCGGTACCTCTCTCTTGGACCGGCAAACTTGGTGGTCTCGTGTCACCAATGCACGTATTGGGAGCGCGACTGCCTTCTGTGAACACGGCGCGCAGCCTGTTCTCAGTACTTCTCAGAGCGCACACAGCGGAGGCGCAAAGCGATAGCGTTTCCCTCGGGTTGAGCATTTGAGCTGGGGACCGACGCCGTGTCCCGAGAGCGTGTGTCTGGCGGTCGGTCAGGTCTCACAATACATACCGGGACGACGGCCGTGCCCGGACCTCGCTCAAAAAACGGTGTAAATGCTACATGATGGACGCGTCCACCGCAACCAGACGTTACGTCGCGTGAAGATGCCCGCCCCCGGCATGGCCGCGCTCGACCTCGAGCGAGCGATTGGTTTCAACGGCGGCGCCGATTCGCCACTGCACGCGCTCGGTGACGGCGGCACAGGCTATGCGCACGCCTCCGGTGCTTGCGTGGTGCTCTCCGACCTCGCCGACCCGTCGCGGCAGCACTTTCTGCGCGGCCACTCGGAGGACGTCAGCTGCCTCGCGGTGTCCAGCTCGGGAAGGTACGCCGCTTCGGGGCAGAACGGGGGCGAGCCGGACGTGCTGGTGTGGGACCTGTCAACGCAGACGCTCGTCTATCGTCTGCAGGCACTGTCCTCCCGTGTCCGCTCTCGCCACGCCGCCGCCGCCGCGCCCCTCATATCCCGCACTGCAACCAATGCCCTTCGCAGGAGCACGACCACGGGGTGCAGCTGGTGTGCTTCTCAGACGACGAGCGCTTTCTCCTCACGGTTGGCGTGAAGAAGGACGGCAAGATGGTGGCGTGGGACCTCGTCTCTGGTTGCATCGTCGCGAGCGCTCTCGCCGGCAAAAACAACGCGGCTGCCACCTGCGCCTGCTGGGGCGGGCGCAAGAAGGACGTCAAGCGGCGTGACACGATGCAGCTCCAGCTGGCCACCGGCGGCGAGGGCTTCCTCAAGTACTGGACCCTCGATCCGGCGGGCGGGTCCCTCTCGTCGGAGGAGGCGACCACGGCCGTCTCGCGGCACGTCACCGCGCTCGCCTTTTCGCACGAGCGCGAGTACCTGTACGCGGGGTCGTCGTCGGGCGACTTCGTCACGATCCTCGTCCGGAGCTTGCTGATGCACTCCGTCACTGCCGCCGCCTCCAACTCGGTCTCCGCCCTCGCGCCGCTGCCGCCGGTGCCGCGGAGCCTCAGCGTGCTCGGCGGCGACGACACGCTGGAGCGCCTGCTCGTCGCGGGCGGCGACGGCTCCTGCACGGTGTGGCAGGGAGACGGGCGTGCGTACCGACGGACGGAGTCGCTCGAGCCTAAGCTCCCGGGCGCCATCTCCGCGCTCTCCCTGCGCGTTCGCCACCCGGCGGCTGGCTCGACACTGCGGCTGCTTCTCGGCACGCGCCGCGGAACCATTCACGAGGCGTCGCTCGCGCCTAATTCACTAAGTAAATCGCGCTCTACATGCGCTCTACAGCGCTCTACAACGCAGGCAGTCCGTCCCGCGCCGGATGTAGAGCTCTACAGCTCTACAGCGCTCCGGCTGGGAGAGGGGGGGGGGGGGGTGACAGAGAGCTCTCGGGTGTGGAGGCACTTGGACGTTCTTGCGGGAGGGCTCGGCTTGCTGCTGCTGCGAGACGGGAATTCTTTTCTTGCCGGTGTGTGTGCCAGTCCGCGCCAGCCTCTTCGCATAGAATTCTTTTCTTGACGCAAGGCTGTAGGGATCCACCTTGCTCGCAGTGTTTGCAGACGCCTCTCTCACTCACCCGTTCATGGCGGTCGATCTCTCTTCGTACGGCGGGCTCGAGCCAGAGCACAAAGCGCGCATCCGTCGTTAAATGGGTGGACGCAAGACTCTGAGATGCCATTGGGCGGCCTGTAGGAGACAAGACACTCAGTCAACTCGGGAACGCTGTGTCACTTCTAGCGTTGGGGAGGAGACTCTTTTACTTTTTGTTTATCGGGCTCGAGCGAAGAAAAAGAAAAAACATTCGGGGGGGGGGTGTCGCGTGCTCACCCTTTACAAAAAAGTAGAGTGTAGAGCGCTGTAGAGCTGTAGAGCTGTAGAGCGCTGTAGAGCTGTACCGGGTTGAGCTCTACATCCGGCGCGGTACGAAATGCCTGGAGCGGCGCCCCACCAGCGACCAGGGCCGCACATTGCTCTCGGTACCCCCCCTGCACTTCTAAGTTCGTCCCTGCTGCAAACGGGAATTCTTTTCTTTCCAGCCTGTGTGCCAATACCCCCCCTCCTCTTCGCATAGAATTCTTTTCTTGACGCAAGGCTGTAGGGATCCACCTTGCTCGCAGTGTTTGCAGACGCCTCTCTCACTCACCCGTTCATGGCGGTCGATCTCTCTTCGTACGGCGGGCTCGAGCCAGAGCACAAAGCGCGCATCCTCAAAATGTCGGATGTGAGCGCTCGCCCAGCTGCCTGGCTCCAGCGCGCTGCGCACTGCAAACTTTCTCGCCTGCCGCCGCCCAACTTTTCAGAGAGTGGCTGTGGCTGACTCCGCGCATCCTCCCCACCGTAGATCTCGCTGGAGACCATCACGAAACGCTACACGCTCGGCGCAGAGCTCGGCCGGTGCGCGCTGCCGCCCCTCGGGCACTCGCCGGGGCCCCGCTGCGCGGTGGGCGCGCAGAGGCTCAGACGAGCGAGGCTGACGCCCTGCCCCGCCCCCGCGCCGCAGCGGCCGCTTCTCCGTGGTGAAGAGCGCGACGCAGAAGAGCGACGGCGGCACCTACGCCGTCAAGGTTGTTGAAAACTCGTCGCTCAGCGACGAGGAGAACCTCGAGGCGCTCGAGACGGAGGTTGCCATCCTGCGCCAGCTGCAGCACCCGCACATCGTGGCGCTCAAGGAAGTGGTGACCACGGACAGCGACACGTACATCGTGATGGAGCTCCTCTCCGGCGGCGAGCTCTTCAACCGCATCGTCGACCTCGGCCCCTTCGTAGAGGCGACGGCAGCCGACCTGTTTGCGCAAGTCTGCTGCGCGATGGAGCACCTGCACAGCGCGCAGATCGTGCACCGCGACATCAAGCCGGAGAACATCCTGTACACGGAGGAGGGGGGGACGTCGGTCAAGGTGATCGACTTTGGCTACGCCGGCGTCTGGTCGCCGGAGAAGCCGCTGACGGGCCTGTGCGGGACTCCAGACTATGTCGCTCCCGAGGTGCTCACCTGGTACGACGACGAGGATCGGGGGAAGGAGTACGGGAAGGGGTCGGATGTGTGGTCGATGGGTGTGCTGCTCTACGTGATCCTCTCCGGCTGCAGCCCCTTCTCCGCCGACGAGGAGGAGGCGCTGCTCGCGCAGGTGGCGGAGGCCAAGTACGAGTTTTACGAAAACGAGTGGAAGTCCGTGTCGGAGGATGCGAAGGACCTGATCCGGAAGATGCTGGTGGTGGACCCGGAGGTGAGGCTGTCGCTGGAGGGGGTGATGAGCCACCCCTTCCTCGCCGAGGCGGTCGGCCGCTGCAGAGCCAACCTCGACGACGCCGCCGCCGCTGCTGACGCCAAGGCCGAGCCTCCCAAGGCCGAGGCCAAGGCGGCGACGCCAAAGTCGGGCGGGAGAGCGGCGCAGGACGCGGCAGCGGACATAACGCTGCAGCCCGCGGAGGATGATTGCGCGGTGCAGCAGGTGAAACCGGGCAGTTGCTGCGTGATCAGCTGAGGGAGGCACTAGAGCCGCTGTAGCCACCCGCCCACCGCCCGCATCTGGGCGCGTTGGGGGGGAGCATGGACCCTTCGTGCGGACTTGCGACCCATGTGTGACGCGCGATCCGCGGCGTGTCCTGCCGAACGCACCCCTGTGTGCCGCCGGCGGGCCTATTTATCTCGCCCGGGTCTCGTGTGTGTGTTGGAGAGCGTTCGCGAGCGAGAGAGACCGAGACCTTACAGAGTAGAGTGGATCATGTCGTGGCAGGCCTTTGTAAAAAACCGTTCGAAAGAAAACTGCGAGGACGGCCGACGACTCACTGATCGAAAAAGGGCGACTTCTTGCCACCCGCGGCGCCACCCTGGCTGCGCCTGTCTGCGCGGACTCGTGCCGCCATGGGGACTGCCGCGTGCCGGTCTGCGTCTGGCTCTGGGGTTGGGCCGACTGCGGGGTCTGCCGGCTTTCCGCCGACGGCCGCCTCCAACTCCACGGTCCTCGGAGAGGCCGCACCGCCGCCGGCACCGGCGCTGCCACCAGCGATGCGGGCGCTACGGGCCCTTCTGCCAGCGCTGCTGGAGTCGCCACCACTGGCGTTGCCACCGCCGCCGCCGCGGCAGCCAGCGCCGCCACCCACGCCGCCGCCGCTGCCGCCGCCGCGGCTACTGCCGCCGTCGCTTCGCTTTTTCTTCCCTCTGCCCGCTCCCTGTGCCTCCTGCTTGGCCCGCTTGGCCGCCTGCCTCGCCGCCGCCAGATGGTGAGGGAAGGGACCGTTGGCGACGCGGCTGCCGGACGCCGAGCGAGTCCACCCCGTGCTCTCGCGGTTCGCCTCCCACTGCCTCCCCACGTCGGTGAGCACGGTGGGTGAGGCGTGGCCCGAGAGGTCGACCGGCAGCTCGTGCGTCAGGTAGGTGCCCTGCAGGTCGACGCTAGCTCGGACGGCGCGAAACTGCACGCCGGCCTGCGCAGCCTTGACCGCCGCGGCGGCGAAGGCGGGGTCATGGAATGCGCTCGGACGCACGCCGTGCTCGACATCGGAGCGCTGCACGACGAGGATGACGGAGGCACGCGCCCCTCCAGCCACCAGCGCAGCGAGCGCGTCCACGTGCCGCGTCGCTCGTGCGGAGACGGAGTCAGGAAAGTAGCCCCAGCCGTCCTCGTACACCATGTGGCAGTTCTTGACCTCCACGTAGTGGGGCGAGGCGCTCTGCTCGTCGAGAAGGAAGTCGACGCGCCCCGAGTGGCTGCCGGCGACAAAGTTGCGTTCGGCACGCAGCTCGCAAAAGGAGAGGTCGCGGAGGCATCGCGCCTCGAGGAGCGCACGCACGAGCAGGTTGGGCCGGACGGTGTTTGTCGAGGCGATGATGTTGGCGCCGCGGACGCCCAGCACCTCGATCGCCTCCCACGAGTAGCGCAGCTTTCGGTCGGCCTTCTCCACAGGGAGGACCCACACCCGTGCGCCGGGCCGCACGAACGCCTCCATCCGGCCGGGATTGATGCAGTGCGCGAGCACGCTGGCCGGCTGGCCGTCGAGCGCAACCTCGGCGATGAAGCGGTCCCGCCGGTCGACCAGCGTGCCGCGCTGGAGCGGCGCGTGATACGGGACAAAGACAGGCTCTGCGAAGCGCATCGTGTGTCACGTGTATTTTTTCTTCCAGCCTTCAAGGAAAACAAACGAAAGGCGCACATGGCATATCGCTCTCGGACCCACAGACATCCCGCACACCCGTCTCCCCCCCCCGCGCGCGCCCCACCCCGGCCGGGAGAGAGGGGAGTGACAGTTTGGGACGGCGACAGAACGAGTATGTTGAGTCCTGGCTCAACAACGCAGACAGATAAAGGACTGTGGGTGGTCCGGCCCGTCTGAACCACACGTGTCCCTCCATTCACACTCTCCCAGTCCGTCCTGGTCTAGTGCCCGCTTCTCCGCCCGTCGTGCTGAGTTGGTCGCACCTCCGTGCATCTTCGTCCTTTAGACGTTTCACCTAGAGCAAGCACAGAGCAAGCAGGGCGGCACGCCCCCAGGTCCACCCGCCAGCCGGGTGGGGCTTGCACGTGGCAGCGACTCGACTGGTCGCGTCAGCCCTTTTGTGAAGCCCCACACGCTATCCCTGCTCAGGCCATGGCCCATGCCTGACACGCCCACCAAAAACTTGGAGCATTCCGAAACTCGGGATCTCCTGCAAGGCGCTAAACAGAGTGCTGATGCAATGCTGACGGAGTGGAAGTTCGTTCCGGCCACCGCCCTCGACGGGCTCGCGGCGAACCTAGCCACTCTCCTTGAATGGAGCCGACTGCAAGACACCGACGGCATCGGCTTCTTCTTCATCACAAATGGCGCTGTCTACATGGACAACATTGCGCCCACCGTTTGCTGCACCATCCCCGATGCGGTGCGCTGCGCGCGCCACGAGCTGAAGCAGCTCAAGCCGCGTGACTTTTCCGACTTGCTCGAGTTCGTCGCCGACACAGTCAGTCACCCACCGCCGACGACTTTGCGCAGGTCGTAGCTGTCCACAAGTCGGTCAGTGAGAAGCAGTCTTGTAATGAGCTGTGAGCTGTACACGGAGCGAGGGTCTGTACCGAGGCGTACAGGAAGGGTACAAGCAAGACTACATCAGCCAAGCCGCGGTTGAGCGGACGTCCGACAAACAGAGCAATAAGTAAGCCGGCCTGACACGTCCCGCACATGTCCCTGTTCACACAGACATCTCGCTAGGATAGAGACGTCTCTCCCTCTCTCTCTCTCTATCTATTCATGAGGAGGGCGTTCACACTCCCAACACTCCCCCATTGTCTGCGCGGTCTTCAGATGCGGCAGACAACACAGCGGAGTGTGATCCCAGTCAGATGGGAAGTGAATCTCCTTCACCGAGACGTGAGCGTGAGCACCACGCCGCGAGTCGCGAGCAGTGCCGCGACCCCCCGCGAGAGCCACAGACTCTCCAGTGCATGTTCCATGCCCCATCGAGAGGGACATTTTCCTCTCTATCCATGTGAGTGACTCGACTACGTCGAGGGGGGGGACGTCTGAACCACACGTGTCCCTCCGTTCACACTCTCCCAGTCCTTCCTGGTCTAGTGCCCGCTTCTCCGCCCGTCGTGCTGAGTTGGTCGCACCTCCGTGCATCTTCGTCCTTTAGACGTTTCACCTAGAGCAAGCAGGGCGGCACGCCCCCAGGTCCACCCGCCAGCCGGGTGGGGCTTGCACGCGGCCCACAAGTCCGGCTCATTTTTTCTTCTTGTGCTCGCTGGATAGGGTCGATTCCGCGTGTATATTTGTGTGTATGCATGTACACATGTGCATGTGCATGTGCATGTGTTGTGCTGTGCGCCCGGGTGATTTTTTTCTTTCTTTATCGTGCTGGGAGAGTGTTGCTGGCGTGTGTGTGGTGGTGATCGTGTGTGTGTGAGAGAGAGAGATTTTTGAAGACTGTGTGTGAGAGAGAGAGAGAGAGAGATTTTTAGCAATACCAAACAACTCTAACACTCACACGTCATTTGGGGCCTGGCCCTTCACGCGCGCGCGAGACGTGCAGACAGGGTTGCCAGGTGAGAGCGAATGGCGCGGTTCACGCCTCGCACAACAGAGAGAGAGATGCGCTCTACATGGTGGGACATAAAAGAGAGCGAGTACTTGGGCGAGTAGGCCGTGCGGTCAACGCTGCGCGCGCGCGACTTTGCGCGCGAGGCGGCGCAGCTTGAGAACGGCGGTGGGCGAGAAGCCGCCGCCGAACGTCTCGTGGAGCAGCAGGTTGTGAAGTTGTTGCGCTTGACAAAGATCGCGTCGTGGTAGAAACCGCGATGCGCCTTGACGTAGCCGTGGCCGGTCTTGTGGGAGAAGGGTTGGCCGGGCTGCCCGCGCGCCTTGTTGTGTGTGTGTGTGTGTGTGTGTGTGTGTGTGTGTGTGTGTGTGTGTGTGTTTGTTTGAAATTTTTAGAAGCCAACAAGAAATGTGTCTCTTCTTCTGTGTGTGTGTGTGTGTGGCCTGTGAGGGGAGCGTCTATAGACACCTACCTCACCCGACACCGACCCCACACACACTCTCGTCCGAGCTCGCGGCTGACTGTGTGTGACGAGTTTGCGAGAGGAGGAGCAGCAGCCTGCTCTAGCCTCACGCGTGACGTGCCCTATCAGGAGGGTGGGCAGCGAGCCAGTCTAGACCAGTTTAGATCACTGCTAACACCAACCAGATTACTCTGTTACTCGAGTATTTGTGCCCCATTGGGGGGGGGCGGGGCAGGGCAACTTCATCCCCGCTCGCTCCTTTCACCACACACCGACCGACTGAAGGACCTCCGTCCGCAATGCACATGCAGCCGGGCGCAGTTGTGCTGGACGCGTCGATGCGAGTCCTCCGCGACACACACCGGCGGTCGTGCCCGAGCGCGCCCTCGACAGAGGCTCACCCGCAGCGGCAGAAGCGGAGGGTGGTGGGGCGCGAGAGAGCAGCTGGCTCGGCGTGCGAGAGAGAGCAGCAGGCTTGCTGGTGGTCGCTCGTGCTGTGTCCGACTGACGGCCGCGCGGGCATCGCCGGAGAGTCCCAGCAAACGGGCAACGCAGCTTGGAAGCTGGTGAGAGCTTGGCGGCTGCTCAGGATCGCGCTGCTGCCGAGCTAGTCAGTGGTCACGGTCCCAGCGTGCACAGTCCAGTGGCCAGTGTTCCATCTGTCGAGTGTGTAGCTTATGCTGTCGAGATCAATAACTTCGTGAGACACCATCACGACGACCCAAACTCGGCCTCCCACTCTGCGTACCGAGACCCGTACTGCGACACGGTGGGGCGGGTGCACGCAAACGCGGCGCGGAGGTCCTCCTCTGTCACACGCTCTGGCTGAGGCAGATCCGCCACTTTGCCACTCCCCATGGCCGCGTCAGCGGCATCCAGCGTCAGGAGGAGCTTGCGGAGCGGCCTCATCGCAGCCTCCTTGCAGACGAGCACGAGGTCCGAGCCGGAGTAGCCGTCTGCCTGATCCGCAAGGCCGTCGATGTCCACGCTGCGCTGGATCCTCGCGGGCGGCAGCGTGTTCCGGAGCATCTCCGCCCTCGCCGAGGAAGACGGCAGCGGCACGAGGACCCGCTTCTCGAGCCGGCGCAGGAGCGCCGCGTCGAGCTCCCACGGCAGGTTGGTCGCGGCGAGGACAAAGACCTGGGCCTCGTTCGCCATCAGGCCGTCCATCTGCACCAGAAGCTCCGTCTTCATGCGGCGCGAGCCCTCGTGCTCGCCCGAGTCGCCTCGCGCCGACATAATGGAGTCGATCTCGTCGATGAAGATGGTCGACGGTGCGTGGTGGCGCGCCTGCCGGGGCCGGCGGGTGGGTGACAAAGGAGTTTGGTGGCGCCACGCCGCGCTGGGCGCGCGGACCAGGTCGAAAAGGACACGCACGAGCTTCTCCGAGTCTCCCCGCCACTTGGAGACGATGGAGGACGCCGAAATGTTGAAGAAGACGGTGCTGCACTCGGTGGCGACCGCCTTTGCCAAGAGCGTCTTGCCCGTCCCCGGCGGGCCGTAGAGGAGCACGCCCTTCCACGGGGCCAGTAGCCCTGTGAACAGATGAGGCCAGCGGAGGGGCATCACGAGGGACTCCTTCAGCACTCGCTTGACGCCCTCGAGCTCCACGATCCGATCCCATCTCACATTTGGGTTGCTCTGCACCATGTCCCGCTGGATCACCGCCGCCAGCTCGCGCAGCTCGGGCGAGGCGGCCATCCCGGGCGGCAGCCCGGCCTTTTTCAGCCGGTGCTCCCACGGCCCTGGGGCCTCCTCCGCATCGCAACCCCCGTCGCCTCTGCGCGCCGCAACATTCGTGCCCGTGAGGGCGAGCCCCGCCGGCTCGACCGCCGCCGCCGGGTCCTCCGCGACGGCGGCGCTCGCTGCCAGTCCCTTCGGCTGCTGCGCTCGGCCGCTGAGCCCGCCTCCGCTTACAGCAGTGAGGGCTCGCTCGGCAGCGGAGGCGCTCGGACCTCCTTCGCCCCGCGTCGGCCGCGCACGCCGGCCGGCAGCTCCCGCCCCACCCACAGTGCCGTCGTCGCGGTCATCGACCGACGAGAGCGTTTCTCGCTTGGTGGCCGGGCGCGCCTGCTTTGGCTTGCTAGCCGCAGCTGCCGCATCGACACCGCGCCGCGAGGCCTGCAGTCAAGCAGCGAGGGAGTGTGGGGCGGCAGATTGCGGAAAGGCGCAGCCGCGGATGGATGGGCGGGCGGGCAAACCCGAGGCCCATGTGGGTCGACGCGGTTGGAGTACGCGGAGAGCTTCTTGACCAGCTTGGCGCGACGCGAGAATCGAAACTCGTAGTAATCCTCCCACTCCTGCAGGATGGAGACCAGGTCGACGTTGTCGGCAGCCTCGTACTGGGAGAGCGTGACGCCAGACTCTGACTGGAGCGCCTCGATCGAGCCCACGTAGCCAGACTGCGCGAGGTGGTGCAGGACGAGGACGATCAGGCTCTTGCCTCGCTCCGCACGACGCCGCTCGTCGTGCAGCCGGCTCTCGTGCTCGACGCGTTTGGCGGCGGCGAGCATTGTTCGGGTCGAGCGAAACGAACTAGCGAAAAACGGCGCGCGTTGGGACGCCACCCAGCCGGATTGGTCTTCTTTTTTTCATTTTACACTTCCGGGTCGATATTAATTTCTTCCTCGCAGGAGCGCTTCGGCGGCTCCCGTGGTGTACCTGTGTTAGAGTGCCAGTGCGCGCCAGTCCCGTAAAGAAAGACAGACAGAAAACGGACAACCCAAGGGAGACCTGTGGTAAGAAAACAGACAACCCATCCCTCCCTTGGGTGCTCTGTTTTCTTTCTTTTAGACCTGTGGTAGTGAGATGCCAGTGAGAAACTGGAGGCAGGTCGCCAGATATAAGATGAGACCGCCAGTGGAGTAGGGGAGTCCACCGAGCACCGCGCTGCGAGCCTGTCGCTGTCCCTTGTCAGGGGAGCAGGAGAACTAGGAGAGCGCAACCAGTAGCCAGTAGGAGGCCCGCGCCTGCCCCCGTGCCGCCGGGTGCAACTTTGTCCTATTACGAGAGGGGAATCCCTGGGACCCTGTCGTGTAGTCGAGGGACTCGGTAGTTGTGACCCCCCTGAGTGAGGACAGGAGAGAGAGAGCTTTTGTGGTGTTGGTGTACGCAATAACGGGACAGGGTAGTCGTTCTCTCTAGCTCCCCTTCTAGCTCTTGGCATGAGCTGCGCTCTGGGCCGGCGCGGGGGGCCCAGAGGGTGTCCATGCGGGGGGGAGATGGGGTCCCATGGCCCGCCGCAGGCGCCGATTTTTTGGAGTTTTTTCTTTATTCGCGATTTTTTACTTGTTTTCATGGGAATTCGGCGTACTTGCGGCCATGCTATCACGCCTTGCGACAGCCTGTCGGCGCAGCTGACCGTGCCATGATGCACAATTGATCACCTGCATAGCTCGCGGCCTTAGTATTAAGCATTCAGTGACGACCTGATCGTACGGCCAGTAGGAAGGTGTCCTTCCAGCTGCGTGCACGCTTCTGGCGCAATGCGCGTCACCTCGGATGGGCTGCTGGCACTCTCGAGGCTATGCCTACACAGCCTCGCGCGCATGGGCAGTCAAGAGGGACCACGCACCTTCTCAGGACAGCGCCGGTGCCTCTCTCTTGGACCGGCAAACTTGGTGGTCTCGTGTCACCAATGTGGGACCAGTGCGGCATCGCGCCATCGACAGCTCTGAACTGCGCCTCACCACTGACCGGGAAGGCCGCCAAGTGGGCCAGCACAGGTCGCACATTGTGGCAGCAGTCAGCAGTGCATGGCTGATAGCTAGAGCAGCAGCGTCAGGGTCGCAGGGTCGGATCGTGTCAAGCCTCTCGCCCGGCCGGCCGCGTGCAGACGTCGGCCTGTCTGCTGTCTGCAGTGATCTGTCGGCGGTCAGTACGACCGATCAGGTCGGAGTTTTCTGATGGTTGGAGGGTCTATCTGTATGTAATCCTCGAGATCTCTCCAAATCTGCCCTCTGATTAACCTAGCTTAATCGGGAAGTCGGTGCTCATAGAGACTCATAGAGCCGGAGCCCCGTTTCCGCACTGCTGCGCGGCGCACGGTGTGGGCCGGGGGCCCCCGCGCCGGCCCAGAGGAGCTGCGCCCTGTGAGCTGTGTCCGACCCCTTTTGCGCAGCAACACCTTAAACTTTTAGGCCCTCCAAATTCGGGTCGGAGCGTAGCGGGCGGAGTGGGCCCCGAGTTTGAAAAGGGCGACGGACGCTTGCGTCCTAGCCTCCAACAACGCCTCCCTCCCCGGCGCAGAGGGGCCCCCGGAGGGATGCTCAACCGCTCCACGCCACGCCGCTTGCGGCGGTCCTATTCCCAGCTCCGCTGAGGGGCCATCCCAGAATTCTTTTATCCTCCCTTCTTTTTTTTTTGCACGAGTCCGCCCGCTGTTGTTTACTCGTAGCCGCTGTGCCGCTGTTCTCTGGCTTTGCCCTTCCAACCTGGGGTTCGCAATGTACGATGACGAGGCCGCCTCACCATCGATTCTCTGGGAGCCGGGCGTCGCGCTCGTCGACAAGAAAAGGCTGGCCGTGAGGAGGGCGTCTGTGGTGGTCTTCGCTCTGCTCGACGCTTGCGGCACATTTGCGCTTCTGCTCCAAGAGACAGACGGTGGCTTCCCAAGGTCGCTCTCGGAGCTGCACGAGCGATGGGACGAAGAGCTGACGCGTGAGGAGTGGTTCGCGCCGCTCGTCTCCAGCCTCGCCTTCCAGCTGCTCGGTGTCGTCGGCGCCTTGCTGCTGTGGCGGTGGCCGCTCTGGGCCTACTGCGGAGGGATCCTCGTTAGCCTGGGTGCGTTGCCACCACACACGTCGGCGTCGGCGCCGCCGCCAGACAATGCCAGATCGATGACATTGAACGTAGGCGCGCGGCTCTGCCTGCTCTTCGAGGCCGGCCGCCGAGAGAGCCTGGTCGACACCTACACGCTCGTGGTCGACTTTGTGCTGCTCACGTGCTGCGTGCTGCTCCAAATTTACATCTTTCAGGCCGCCTCGGGCCTCGCGCTGCTCATCGGGCGGCTGAGGCTTCAGCGGCTCTTCGCGCCGCGTGACGCGCCGTATCGCGCAGCGTCGCCCGAGCGCAGCGGGAGGAGACAGGGCAGCGGTTATCGGCGGGACGGGCGGAGGTGAGGACATCAATCTAGTGGTAGTATCAAAAATAGATCCGATCACCGCCCCCATCATCCTAGTCCACGCCACATGCAGAGACAGGCACCCACGACGCACAGGAGAACACGGTGACAACACCCGCACAGAGCGGCGTGGCGCGGTCGAACGATTAACGCAAAACCAAATAAGAGTCTGCAGTCTCTCTCCCAGATTGAGAGAAATAGAGACCGCCCCATTGGCATTGCAAACGACGTCATTGCATACGACAGATTACAGTCCACACAGAGCTCCGCGTTTATAGAGCCGTATGTGCGCACCACGCGAGTTCGGTGCAAGCCCGCACCCTCAATCCACCAAGGCGTGCTCGTACACAGGCCACAAAGGGAAAGACCTGGTGTCCCCAATGGCTCATAACTTGCTGCATCCGAGCGGCGCCGAGGCGTGTGGCCCGGTGGAAAGAGGGTGAGGTACCTCACGAGATCGCCTCGAGGTGATGTGCCTCGCGTCTCGCCTAAAGGAAGCAGTGCCACCTGCGATGAGACGCTGGTGCCGCCTCAAACGCCGCGGTGCGCGGTGTCCCTCCCCTCGCATCAGCCGCCTTTACTCGCTCCACCACTCGACGAGCACGCGCACCTAGTGCACAGCTGGGCGTGAAGCGAGGTCCAGTGGCACCAACCATCTCATCTAATCCGAGCCCACGCAGCTTTGCAGCGACGCACATCGCACCGCCAGAGCGTGCCGTCGAGCGAGACGTTGGCAGTCAGTCTCAGCCCGCGGTCTCGCTCGCGCCGCTCGGCGCCTGGATTTGCGTGTGGTAAATGTCCACAGGCTCTCCATCGTCGCCGGGTGCGAGGAGACGGCGCGCGTACAGAGAGCAGCCTCTAGCCCAGACTTTTGGCCTCGGCTGCTCGATAAATCGATATGACAATGACATTCAAGTCACCCATTTCTGACCAGACCTCTCACGAACGAACGATGAGAGCCAGGGAGATCGGCCCGAATAACCTTGACTCGGCGCATTGCAGCAGCAAAATGAGAACTGTTCGGGCTGAGTGCACATGCGACTCGGGCTGCGGTTCTTTTGCGGTTCTGGGTTCAGCCCTGAGGTGGTGCCGAGGGCGAGGTGCGGGCGGCGGAGCAGTCTGGGGTGGACGTGCAGTCGAGGGGGTGGGCGGAGCCAGCGAGGAGCTGTAAGTTGGAAACCGTGGCCGCGCTGGAGATATGCGGGCGCGCCGCTGCAGGTTTTGCCCTCCGCCCGCCGGTCCAGGGAGGTTGCTTGTAGGAGTCAGGACTACAAGCAACAACAACACCCAGCAAACGACCATGGCACGCACCAAGCAGACAGCACGCAAGTCGACCGGCGGCAAGGCGCCCCGCAAGCAGCTCGCCACCAAGGCGGCGCGCAAGTCGGCCCCGGCCACCGGCGGCGTCAAGAAGCCGCACCGCTACCGCCCGGGCACTGTCGCGCTCCGTGAGATCCGCCGCTACCAGAAGTCGACAGAGCTGCTGATCCGCAAGCTGCCCTTCCAGCGCCTGGTGCGCGAGATTGCGCAGGACTTCAAGACCGACCTGCGCTTTCAGTCGTCGGCCGTCGTCGCGCTCCAGGAGGCGTCCGAGGCCTACCTGGTTGGCCTCTTTGAGGACACCAACCTGTGCGCCATCCACGCCAAGCGCGTCACCATCATGCCCAAGGACATCCAGCTGGCCCGCCGCATCCGTGGCGAGCGCGCGTAAGCGTCCGGCTCATCCAAACCCCGGTGTTTCTCAACACCACCCTTCCTTTTCCATCCTATTGCGGTTGTGGCACCCGTGCCCTGTGGGCTGCCCGCGGTGTACGACCGTTTGTCGAAAGGAGAATGGTGTGATGTGCTAAGTGTATAGTGCGCGACGCGGTTTACATTTATACTCCCCAACACGCGGCTAGCCAGGCCTGCCTGCTACACGATGGCGACGTTCTCGGGGTTCTGTCTGCGTGCTTTTGCTGCCTCCCGCTTGGAGTCCGCAGTAAAGTATGCCGGCGGGCGGGGACACGAATGGGGGAGCTGAACGTTTCCGCAGGCGAAAGGACAAGATTTAAAGGAGAATGCTGAATGGTGTGATGTGCTAAGTGTATAGTGCGCGACGCGGTTTACATTTGACAGTTGAAAGAGACTACTCCGTTCCTTTGCGCGTTCGAAAAACCCTGTGAGCAGAGAGTCTCTTCTTGTGAGCAGTTCGCGCAGAAAAACACCTCGGATCTGGCTGGCGAGGTACTCCCACGCCTCTCGGGGTTTTTGTCTGGCCGATGCTGGGGCGAGCCTCGGCGAGACTGCGTCAGCTGTTCCCACAGCAGGCTGGAAGTACCTCGCCTGCTCCGGATGGGCGATCGGTTCAAACAAAAAACAAATTCGTCGCACGCCAGACCGCGCGGCGGATTACTGCGCTACTGGACCGCAGTGGGCGCCAGGGCGCCTCGCTGCTCAGAGCCCGCAGAACATGGGCGAGCACGGCTACGAGCTGCGGCTCGTGAGCGGCCCCGAGCGCGCAGACCGTCCGGCTCGCATCCCGCTGACCACCGGCAAGGTGATCCGCATATGCCGGGGCGACGGGAGCTGCAGCAGCTCCGCCGACCCGCTCACCCCGCAGACGCAGCCGGTCGCAGCCACGTTTCTCAACGCGCCAACTCTCTCTGCGTCGCCCGGCTTGGTCAGCCGCATGCACGCGGAGATCTGGGTCGACGACAGTGGCAGCGTGCTGCTCGCTGACGGCGGGCGCTCCTCCCTCAAGGAGAGCGTCAACGGAACAGCGGTCTGCGGCGAGCTGATCCCTCCACGCGCGACGTTTCCCGTTCCCGCCGGGGCAGAGGTGGAGTTCGGCGCGCCGCACCTGAAGCGCCCAGGCCGCTGCAAGCGCCCGGCGGAGTTTGTCTACCAGCTTGTGCGCACTCCCTCGTGCGTTGCAGGCCCGCCGCCACCGCCGCCGCCGCCGCGGTCGTTTGCGGACCTCCGTCGTCTGGCGGAGGCGGGCGTTGGTATCGGCGGCGTGGAGGGCGCTGCGGAGCACCCGGTGAGGCGAGTCCACCCGCGGAGTGGTGGCGCGGCTGGCAGAAGCACGCTGCATGAGGCGGCACCGCTCTCTTCCCTCACAGCGGCGGAGGGCGACTGGCCGCCTCGACGGCCGGAGAGGCCGGAAGCTTGGGCGTGGCCGGAGCGAGGTCTCCCCTCCGACCTCTGCGCCCTCCTCGGCTACGCGCTGCCGAGCCAGGACGACCCCCTCTCCCAGAGCCAGCTCTCCCAGAGCCAGAGCAGCCCGGGCGGCGGCACGGGCGGCCTGACCGATGACGCGGTCGTCAAGATCGAGACGAGCCGCGCGGCGGTGCTGCAGGCGCTCGCACTCGCGCTCGCTTCGCTGCCGTCGCCCCCCGCGCTTCCCGACGCGGCCCTCGAGCTGCTCTGGGCCCGCGCCTTCGAGCCTCGCTTCTCGGCAGCCGCCGCCGACGCTGTCGGAGCGCTGCGAGGGGCGGGCGCAGCGTGGCTCGCGGACGCCGCTGCCGGCTTCTGGCGGCAGCAAGCGCCGGCGAGGGCCGGCGCGCGCTTGGCCGACCCGCCTCCTCGCCGAGAGGAGCGAGCGGAGAAGCGGCCCGCGGAGAGGGGCAGAGGAGGCCGCGTTGCCAAGCGAGGCAGAGCCCGTTGAACGGAATGTACTGAATGCGGCGTGCTTGTGCCGCTGCGCCTGGAAGAGGCGCGCGAGGATGTGGTGCACAGAGGTACAGCACGTACGTGTCAGGGCGCATGCCTCGTACGCGGCTCCGATTTGTACGCGGTCGGGTTGTCGTTTGGGGTGTGCCGGGGCCCCGGGGCGGGGGCGCCGGCGCCCGCGCACGCGTACCGGCCTCTCCTGTATTGTATTCACTGATTGTATTAATATACCGTCCCCCCTCCCAGTCGCGCCGGCCGGGGGTCGCGGTGTCTCTCGGAACTCTCTGTTTGTGGTCTGTACTCTCTCGTGTGTTTTTGCTTGCACGCCGGTTTTGCGTCATTTTCTATTCATGCGCATGTACCTACCTAGATATGGGATGCTCCAAACTCGGACTGGCAAGCCCCGCCTTGAAGGCCAAGTGGCCCCCAGGAAGCGCCAAGGCCCCGCGGTCCCGGAGCTGGGCCGAGCTCTGCGATGAATTCCTTAAGGTGTGAGGTGCCGGCCGGGCCCTCGCGCCTCGACTCCCCCTCCCCCGGCTTCTACGCATACATGCTCGAGGCTCCGCCGCGGTGCGTGGTGAAGGCGGCAGTGTCTCAAGCATGCTTGAATCAGCGAATTTGGCCGCAGTCGGAGATCACGATTGGCTTCGAGGTCTTGCCCGACTGCGAGCCGACCGCCTCGATCGTCTTGACCACCTCCATCCCGTCGATCACCTCGCCAAACACGACGTGCTTGCCGTCCAGCCAGTCCGTCTTGACGGTGCAAAGGAAGAATTGCGAGCCGTTGGTGCCGGGGCCCGAGTTGGCCATCGAGAGGGTGCCAGGCGCCTCGTGTCGCAGCGTGAAGTTCTCATCGTCAAACTTTGCGCCGTAGATGGACTCGCCGCCGGTGCCGTTGCCCTTGGTAAAGTCGCCGCCCTGGCACATGAACCCTGGGATTACGCGGTGGAACGTCGAGCCCTTGAAGTGCAGCGGCTTGCCCTCCCGGCCGATGCCCTTCTCGCCAGTGCACAGGCAGCGGAAGTTCTCCGCCGTCTTTGGCACGGTGTGGGCATGCAGCTTCATGCGGATTCGACCGGCTCGCAGCCCGCCGATGGTGATGTCGAAGAAGACCTCCGGCGAGAGAGGGTGGGGCATCGGGTACCTGCAAGCCGGCGCGTGGGAGAAGAAGAATTCCGCGCGAGATTTCCGGGGACGATCGCGACATGTCAGATCGATCAAGTGGACCGGGCCCTCAGCGCGGTGGAAGGGGAACCAGCGAGGGTGGCCGTGGAGAGCAGCCTAGCGCACACGTTGAGGAGGCTGGGATGCCGAAGTGACAACCCGCTGGAGTGGAAGCCGAGCTGGGACTGGGAAAGGGAGCTCTCGGACGAACTAATGATCGAAGCATATCTAAAGGCAAAATGGAGGTGTGGGGTGGAGACGGTCACGACAGCGGGGTGGGAAGAGAGCAAGAAGGGGCCGCTCAGACCCGAGGCGTGGAGAACGACCGAGGGTGCGGTGGCGCGGCGCCTGCCGCGGCGCCTCCGCCCTCCATCTCCGCCTGATCTCCGCCTCCACCTCGTTTTCCGCGTCGGGCACTTGGAGCACTTGGTCTTGGAGCGTATAGTTTGCGGGGTTCGCTCGGTGATCGAGAATCGGTCCACCTTTTCTCTCCGGTAAAATCGATGTATATTTTCTGTTGTGTTCGCGTCTTTCCTGTGGAACGAGGTCCTATCATATCTCACGTTATCACGAGACACTGTGTGGCGGTAAAACGGCCTATCAGAGGGTAGAGCTGTCAAACGTTAACTTTGGGCCTAACAGTTGCACTATTGTTGGCTAAAATCCTTAACGTTGTTCAAGTGTTCATCCCAGCCCATGCTGTTACTGTTTGTTACTGTTGTTACTGTTGTTCAGCGGCCAGCAAGCAGAAAACGGCAAAAAACCCGGGTAAAACCCGAAAATACCTGGGTTTTTCCAGGTATTTTCGGGTATAAGCTGTGGTCCGCTGTTTTCACGGTGCTCAGCACGCCCCTCGGTTAAGCTGCGGTGCAAAACTCTGTTTACCACCTTCAAGCACACCCCCAAGACTCCCCCAAACCGCCCAGGATGAGCTCCTGAGGTGCCAGTCCGCCCGAGATATGACCGGTTGAGGTTGGGGTTCCACGGTCAGGATGGAGGTGCCGAACTGGATGGGGGTCAGCCGGGGAGGCTGTTGTGGCGCACCGGACCGCCCCCCAGCACCGTGGCCCACCCAACTGCATCCATGGGAGTCACAAACGGTGCTGCACTCGCGGCTGCAAGCACTCACGACACTCAAACCCACCACCTGCCTCCTACCCTGTACGAGGAGCCATTTCACCCGTGCAACATCTGCACAGGTGTACCGCCGACGCTCCAGCGCCCGGCCCCTACTAGAGTAGTCTTGTGGGACCCACAAACGACCAATACATCCACTCGGGGCTGCAGCATGTGTCCGGGGGGGGCATCCCCGTGAAGCAGCCAGCAGGTGCCGGACATGGCGTTGGCCGTCTTGGACCGAGATCAGGGCGCAACTGCCTGTCTCATGGGGCTGAAGGACCGTCATGGGGTCGGCTTTGATGCTGCCAATCAGTCGGGTCGATAGGTGGCGCCCCAGCGAGATGCGTTGCGGGTGCTCGGCGTCGCCTGCTTTGAGTGGCCTAAACGCACTCGCGGGAGCCAGAGAGCAAAGGTGTGCGCGAATTGAGGCTTCTGAGCAAGCCCAGGTAAGCCACAGGACCGGCCATGTGCGTGGGTAGTCGAGCGGTGGCCGGAGGCAGCCTCCAGGAGTGGCTCTCAGTTCGGCACCTCGGTCTCGACCACGCCCAGACTGGGAGCGGACCACAGCTTATTACCCGCACTGGACACTAGAGATCGTCGTGGGTCACTGCCACAGGCCTTCCTTATTGTTGTTCAGCCGGCCTAACGTTAGCTACTGTTGTTGGGGAGCCCAACTGTTGTTCTGTTGTTACTGTTAACACTAGCAACACTGTTCAGCTCTTAACGTTTGACAGCTCTAATCAGAGCTTTCTCGCTCTCGGGAAATTTCAAGAGAAACACCGGGGACCCCCGCCACACACGAGATGACCCTTGGACGGCAGCGCGACAAACATCTCAACAACACGCCCAGACGCTCAAGCTTCTCGCTGCCCGCCCTCTCCGTGCGCCTCCCACGGCCTCGTGAGCACGTCGCGGATGATGCGCCGCTGCGCCGCCTCGTCGCTGTGCAGCCCTCCGTGCAGCCAGCCCTCGTGCCACTCGAGACGCACGCGAGGCGTCTCGCCGCGCTCGACGCAGCCGCGCTGGTACGCCTCGAGCGCTTGCCGCACGTCGTGCGGGTCGGCGACCGTGTCGCAGCCGCCGAGCACGACCAGCGCGTCGCAAGGCAGGTCGGCGGGGTGGATGTAGTTGTGCGTCCACCAAAACGTGCGCCGGAAGCAGAACTGGACGGACGGCTCGAGCACGACCATGGCCCGCTGCACCGCGTGCACATAGTCGCGAGGCCACCGCCCGCCTACTCACTCTCGCCGCACCCTCGGCGCGCGCGCGGCCCGACCGCACCGCCGCCGCCCGCCGGCTCGCGCCGCAGCAGGGCGGCTCGGCGTACAGAAAGTTGTGCAGCACATCCCCCGACGAGAGCTCGAAGCAGATCGGGTCCGAAAAGACGGCGGCGCCGGCCAGCTCGGGCGCGCGCTCGAGCACGGCGCCGAGCAAGCCGCTCCCGACCGAGTTGGCGAGGAAGGCGGCGCGCGCACCGCAGAGCATCCCGCGCAGCGAGACGACCAGCTCCGGCAGCTGCAGCGGCCTGTCGCACGGCGAGAGCCGCACCTAACGGCGCACACCGCGAGCACGGGTCCAGAGGGCGTCGACGAGGGGCGAGCGCTAAGGCGGCTCGGTTCTAGCGGCTCGGGGAGGGCGCGCCGAGGGCGGCGCCGCGACGGCCCACGTCGGGAAGATTGGAAGGTAGATCGCGCCGGCGTGCATCTCCGCGAGCAGGTCGATCGTGAGCCCGTACGGGAGGAAGCCGAGCACGCCGTGGAAAAAGACGACGGGCATCGGAGGCGGCCTGGGGCGAGGGGGCGCCGCGACGCGTCAGCCTAGCTCTGCGCAGCGGCGGGGGCGGCCTCGCGATCGCGCCCGCTCTCCCGCCGCGCGCTCCTCGCTGGCCTGGAGGCACGTCGCGGGCGCGTCAGGGGCGTGTGGCAACCGCTCACTCTGTGAATAGACACCGTGAATAGTCAGGGGCGTGTGGCAACCGCTCACTCCCGCCGGCTTACTCTCCCTGCCGGCCTGTGCCAGTAGCGCAGGTTCCCTCTGCGGTGCAGGCGGAAGCCGCGGCGGCGGAGGCTCCTTCCGGTGAGCCGCATGTTGGACTGCAGCACGAGGTAGAAGAGCAGCGGCTTGTGGCACGGCGTCAGCGCCTGCCGAGTGTACAGCATCCAGCCTCCGCCGCCGCCTCCGCCGCCGCCTCCGCCGCCTCCGCCGCCTCCGCCGCCGCCTCCGCCGCCGCCGCCGCCGCCGCCTCCGCCGCCTCCGCCGCTGGCCGCTCCCGTGGCAAAGCGGCTGCCGAGCGCGGCGGAGAAGTCGTCGATGAGCGCCGCGACGGCCGCCGCGCGCGCGGGTCCCAGCTCCTCGCCGATCGCGTCGTAGATGGTCCAGCCCAGAAAGGACGTGACCTGCTCTCGCGTCGGCATCTGGCCATGGAACCAGCGGCGGAGGAGCGCCTCGAGCTGCGCCGGCGTACGCTCCTTTGGCAGCCGCCGGTAGTAACGGAGCGCGATGGCCGCATCCGCGTGGCCCAGCCGCACCACGTGCGGCGTCGCCGAGCGCACGCGGAGGTAGTGCCGGCTGGCGAGGCACCAGAGCAGCTCCGCGAGCGGAAGCGTGAGCACGTACAGCAGAATGTTGAGCGGCCAAGCGACGGAGAGCCAGCGCCACATGCGGTAGATTGCGCCGTCCTCCGCGCCGACGCTGCACGGTAGCGCCTCCCGGTCGAAGAGGCCACCGCAGCCGCTCGCACCCGCAGCCCTGACCACGCACCTCGCCGCCTCCTCGCTGCTCGGACCGTGCCGAGCCTCGGGCAGGCGGCCAAAGCCGTCTGCAGGCTGCAGGCGACGGCGCAACGCGCGGGCCAGCAGGCGGCAGAAGCGCGTCGCGTCGTTGGTCGTGTGAGTGTCCATCGAACCTCGGCGAACCAGTCTTCGAGAGAGAGAATTTTACGACCAAACTCCCTCGCCCGACACTGGAAGAGAGAAAGCGGATAGCGAACACAACACCCTCTCCTCACATGACAAACGATCCCACGATTGCGAATGTGGGGACTACATGATTACAGGAAGGGTGGAGGGGCCCGTCTGCAGAGCTAGGCGGCGCGGGCACCCCCCACTGGGGCCGAGGACAAGAAGCCGTTTGTCGCTTGCTTGTTCTTTTGCTTGTTGATCCAGTCGGTACGCTCCTTGCGCGCCTGCTTGTTGATGTTGTCGGCGTCGCCCGCCACCGCCGCCTTGGAGTCTGCTGCGTGTGGTGGACGACGAAGGAGGAGGCGCTCGCCGACGCCGCCCCGTACACCGTCCGGTCCACACAAGAACACAACGCACGCTCTCGCATTACAAGGGACACTCTGTCATGTCATGTTCATGTTCATGTTCATGTCGGGGAGGACAAGACAGACCCACCGAGCATGGACAGCCTCAGAACTCGAACCCGAGCCGGCTCGCTCCCGCGACACGGGATATGGCAGGCACGACTCGGCAACCGCGAGCCGCTCACTCCCCCAGTCCCATTCCATCATCTTCCCCGCCTCCTCCACCGAGCGGATCCGCTCCCGCGCCGCCTCTCCCACCACCTCGCGGTCGCGATCGCTCATGCACATTTCGAAGGAGCACCGGAGCCACTCTCGGAGCGCAAAGTCCTCCTAGTCGGCGTCGGGTCCCGCACTGAGCCCTGGTGTCGAGGTGTCGAGGCCCGGTGTCGAGGGTGTCGAGCTGCTGTCGAGGGGCAGAGGTGTCGAGGCCTGTCGAGGCCTGTCGAGGCCTGTCGAGGCCTGTCGAGGCTGAAACCATGCTTGTCCGTGTCATCTCGTCCGTGTCGAGGAGTGTCGAGGGGTGTCGAGGGTGTCGAGGGTGTCGAGCGTGTCGAGCATGTCGAGCGTGTTGAGCGTGTGTCGAGTGTTGTCAAGGTGTTTAGCGTCTAAGGTGTCAAGGTATCCAAGGTGGCAGGATGCAGTTGCAGCCCATAACAAAACTTGGGCAGCAGTTGCAAAGCTGTTTCATCCCTTAGTTGCAGCCTCTCAGTTGCACCCCTGGTGATGTAGCACAACCTGTGAGCACAATCAGTATACTCTGTGCGGGACATTTGAGGACATCAAGCTCACTAGTGCCAGGAGTCATTGCCACTGCACAAGGTGCTGTGCAGGCGCAGCGCCTAAGGCTACAGCACACCCCATGCAGCAGCGTCGCCGCTGCAGAGTCGCTGCTGCACTCGCCTGCGCACACAGCGCAACTGACCACAGCGCTCATGGCACAGGCTGGTGCCATGAGTCAGTGGACATTGCCACTGCACAAGGTGCTGTCCAGCAGCTAAGGGCTACAGTACCCCATCGCAGCAGCGTCGCCGCCGCTGCCATCGTCGCCGTGTTGCAGCGTCGCCAGTGCACAAAGCGCAATGGACCACAGGTCTGCACTCATGGCACAAGCTCACTGGTGTGAGGACTCATTGCCACTGTACAAGGTGCTGTGCAGCACCTGAGGGCTACCTGAGTACTGCCATGGTTGCTACCTGTGGTTGCTACATCAACAGGGGTGTGCAACTGAGCTGCAACTTGAGCTAGAACTTGAGAGGCTGCAACTGAGGGATGAAAGTACTGCCAGCCAAGTTTGATTGCTGCTGCAGCCCTGATTTTCTACTCTGTGACTGCAAATGGGTCTACCCGGTACGTCTCTGCTGTGTTAGGAGCATCAGAGGTGTCGAGGTGGTGTCGAGCGGTGTCGAGGGGTGTCGAGGGGTGTCGAGGGGTGTCGAGGTGTCGAGTTTGGCACCTTGACATGGACGAGCATGGTCCCAGCCTAGATGGTGTCGAGGGGTGTCGAGGGGTGTCGAGTTGGTCGAGTTGGCATGGGGTGTCGAGGTGTCGAGTCGGTGTCTAGGTTTGGTGTCGAGGTGTCGAGGCCAGGGCTCAGGTCCCGCACCACGCGCCACTCGCGCCGGCGGGTTCACCAACGGCCGGGGCGGGTCCCGCACCGGGCGCGCCTCCACCACCCGCTGGTTGTCGCCGTTCTTCATCGCGAGATCCTGCGCCCGCAAGCGCGCCTGCACGCGCTTTGTGCCGGGCTGGATGTTCTTCTCGATCCAGCGCAGCTGCTTATCCAGCGCATACACCACCTCGCACAACACCCCGTCAATGAATTCCTCCTGCTTCGGCTCCTCGCCGGCGATCCAGCGGCCCTTGCCCGAGCCGAAGTGCATGGGAACCCAGCCGCCCCAGCTGCCGTCGGGCAAGTATTCCGTCGCGTAGCCCCCGAGAGATGGCTCGGGAAGATGCCAATATGCCCGCTCCATCACCCGCCCGCACGCAGCCGCAGCGCTCGCCCACTCGAGCGGACGGGAGTCCACGGACTCCACGGGCGCCGCGGGCCGCGCAGCCTTCTTGCGCTGCGACGGGAGTCCACGGGCTCCACGAGCTGACGGCGCGCGGCGGGAGCTGTCTCCCCGGGCTGTCGGAGAGGGTGTCGGAGATTTAGCGCCCACGGAACGCAGCGGCGCCGCCGCCGCGCCAGTTGGCGTAGACGATGAAGAGGAAAACCAATAGAGTAAAGACGTCAGACGAGGCTGAGGGTGGTCTGCAGAGCCCGAAGTCTCGCAGCGCGATCCCAGATCGAGGGTTGGCACGAGCTAACCACCCCTGTAGTGGGGCAGTGAGCGGTGGCCTGCTGAGCCGGGTGGAGGCGGTCGCCTGCCAAGTGGTCAGAGAGGGAATGGGGCACACTCATCGAGGTAGATGGCGATGCCTGGGTTGATCTGTCGGGACAGTGCTGCACCGACCCGAAGGGGTTGGTATGCTGAATTACCTCACGGCAGGCGACCTTTGCCGCTGCCTCGTCTAGCACCGCCGCGCCCTCCTCATCGTCGTCGTCCATCGCCGCTCGCCACATCTGCTGGCGCCACGCCTCCACGTCGAAGTTCTGCTGTTGCTGCTGCTGCTGCTGTGCTGCTGCTGCTCCTCCTCCTCCTCCTTCTCCACCCCCACCAACTCCTCCTCAGACTCACCCGCCGCAGCAGCCGCCTCCACCTCGCCGCCAGTCGAGCCGCCCACAGACACGCCAAGGGTGCCCGATGGGTGCACCATAGGTGCCGGAGGGGTGCCAAGGCCCTCCGACGCCTCGTCCACGGGCGACTCGTAGCCGCCTGCGCCTCCGCCCCCGCCCACGTCGGCGGCCGCCTCGCCCTGCGCCGCCTCGCCGCCCAGCGTGGCAGCAGCGAGAGCTGGGGAGGTGGTGAGGGAATTCTGCGAGCATCGGCGCAGCCCGGCGCGCAGCTTGGCCACCTCGAGCGAGTCGTCGATGCCGAGTTGAGCGAGAGCGCACGCCGCGACACATTCCTCGAGGAGGAGGCCGTCGACCTGCTCCGCAGCGAAGCGAGGAGCATGTGCCTCCAGCCTCACAGAGCTGAGGAAGGCGCAGACGTCGTCGACGGACCAGTTTTTTACTTTCCGCGGCTCGCGTCCCTCGCCCAACCGGCCACGCTCTGCTTCATTCAACCGGCCTGGAGCGCGCCGTCGGGGCGCGACGGCCGCGACGGGCGCGCGCCCAGGCGGACGCCCAGTGGCCGGGCGCGTCCCGGCCTCCGCCGCCGCCACCGCCGCGGCGGTGGCAGCAGCCGAGCTGTGCATCGTAAGTTCGAGACGCCATTAAGGTCATTCACGGGTGTCCGCGGCCCATGTCCGCTGGTAGGACAATGACCGCCGTAAACCCTGTGATCAGCTCCATGCGATCTCGGATATTTTTTGTAGGCACCGGAACGCCAGAAAACGCCAAAAAACTACTGTGTCTTCGAGTGAAAAGTAATCCGAGCAAAGCCGCGGCCGCAGTGAATTAAAAGGGGCGGTTTTCGAGGGGGCATCTGGAGAATCTGGGAATCTGCTCACTACGGACCCCCACCTCACTCATCGAAACACTTTTCACTCCAAGACATAGTACTTTTTTAAGGTGCTCTACAAGCTAGGCACAAAAGATATGGCTTTTCAGGCCATTTAGGGCCCCTTAGACGGTCACTGAGTAGGCCAAAATCCCCACTGAAGTAAGTAATTGCGTTTGTTTCTTTTTCGACACGCAAGCTTCCATCGGCTCGGCTGCTGCTTGATACATGCATGCAACCTCAAGAGACACGCCGAGCACGAGAAGCACCTTTCCGGCCGCCGAACCTCATAACTGATCTTAGCCGAATGGTCGCGCCGCCGACTCTTTCTTTCGGAGGCGGCCTCGGCTGGGCGGCAGAGGTCGTGCCGCTCCTCCGGCTCGCGCTCCCGGTCGTGCTTTCGAACGGCCTGCAGCAGTCGCTGCAGATTGTCGATGCTGCCTTTGTCGGCCACCTCGGCACGGACGAACTTGCAGGACGCAGCATAATTCCTCGAGATATCCGACCGCTCTTCTCATCGCCCTCCTTCATGCCCTCCTTGTCCCTCGCAGCTTGCTCGCTGGGAAATTTTCTCTTCAACATCATCTGGGCATTCCTCCTCGGCGTGGCGACAGCGCTCGACACGCTAGCGTCGCAGGCGGCCGGCGCCGGCGACACTGTCGCTCTCCGGCGCTGGGGCGTGGCGGCTGCGGCGGTGATGCTCGTGCTCTGCCTCCCGACGTGCGCCGTGCTGCAGCAGAGCGCTTGGGTGCTCGAGCGCTGCTTTGGGCAGAGCGAGCGCCTCTCGCAGATGGCGCAGCGGTACTGCCGCGGCCTACTGCCAGGGATCCCGCCGCTCGCTCTGTTCACCGTCGCTCAGAGGCTGCAGCTGGCGCAGGGCCGCGCTCTGCCGTCGATCCTCTCGCTGCTCGCGGCCAACCTGCTCAACTGCGGCACCAACCTCCTCTTCATCTGGCGGCTCGGGCTCGGCTTTGACGGCTCTCCGCTCGGGACTTCCGTCGTCCGCGCCGTGGCGCTGCTGCTGCTGCTGCTCTCCGAGCTGCTGCTCTCCGACCGCCGCATCGACCGCCGACGTCGCGGCGGCGGCGGCGGCTGGCTCTGCCCTTGGCCCAGCCCCTGCCCGCCTTGGCCCGGCCCCGGCCCGCCTTGGCGCGGCCCCTGCCCGTGCGGCTCCCTCTCGAGCGGCGTCGGCCCTGTGCTCGACCTGGTTCGGCTCGGCTTGCCCGGAGGGGTCTCGCTCGGAGTCGAGGCGGCGCTCCACCCCCCCCCCCCTAGCCCTAGCCGAGCCTGAGGCGCGGCACCACCGCCGCGCTGCTGAGGCAAGGAGTGGCACAATAGGCGTGGGCCTTTGAGGCGCTCGGCCGCGCAGCCCGCCCGCGCAGCCCGCCCCAAAATTCTCTTCGCGCAGCAGAGAGCGCCGCCTCCAGGCTGCAGCCCCGCCTCCAGGCTGCAGCTCCGCCGCAGGCGCTCGCTGTCCTCGCGTCGCTGCTCGGCAAGGTCTCCCTCGACGCGTGCGCGATCCTGCTCTCCCTCTCCTCGCTCGCCTTCACCGCGCTCCCCTTTGGAGTCGCCGTCGCGGCGAGCATACGGGTGGGCAACCTGCTCGGCGCGCAGCAGCCGCGCCGCGCGCAGGCGACGGCGGGCGCCGCCCTCCGCCTCGGCGTCGCCGCGATGCTCGCCGCCTCCGCCGCCCTGCTCCTCCTCCGCCCTCGCCTCGCCTCCCTCTTCACGGCAGATACGGCGGTGGCGGCGCGCGTGGCCGCCGTCGCGCCGGTCGTCGCGCTGCTGCAGGTCGTCGACGGGTACCAGGCCGTCGCGGCCGGCGTGCTGCGCGGGCTGGGCCGCCAGCCGGCCGTCGCCGCCGTCAACGTGCTCTCGTTCTGGCTCGTTGGCGTGCCGCTCGGCGCCGGGGCGGCGTTCGGCGCGCAGGGAGGCATCGGGGCGCTCTGGGCGGGGCTGACGGTCGGGTTGGCCGCCGGATGCGCGTGCTACGCGTGGATGTTGCGCCGAGTGGAGTGGCCCGACGAGGCACGCAAGGCGCTCCGTCGCAGCACGCGGCTCGGGACCAAGGGCGGCGCCGACGCTTGCGGACTCGCCGAGCCGCTCCACGACTGGAGCGGGACCAGTGCGGCCTCGAGCGGCAGTTCTTCAACGTGTTGAGTCGAGGCCTCGAGATGCCTCGAGCAGAGGGTGGGTGATCCACATCTCCAGAGATCAACCACGCACAACACGCACACAATCACAAAACTGAGCGGTCCGCTCGTCAGACTTTGAACGGGTTGCATTTAGTTTGTTAATTGCATTCCGCTTGTTGCATGATGCGTATACGTGCCCGGAGAGAGCAAGATACTTTATAGAGGCGACTCAACTCTCAGGCGTGGCCCGTGTGAGGAGAAATTGTGCGTTGTGGGCTGTGCGGTGCACCCTGCACAGCAAACACTGGGCCTCCGGCCTTGCGCCTACACACACACCCAGTCACACAGCGCGAGAACGCGCGAGATCGACTGAATTCTCGCACAAATTACAGCGAACACCATGTCACACAAACACTGTACACGGTAGGGCCAGGGGCTGTGCAGCGTATTTCCTGTGCTCATATCCCGATATCCGGCGGTCCCATCATGATTCCAGGGGTGCCGGGAACTCCGCCTTCGCGCCGCACGCGCTCGAGGTCCTTGGTCACCAGCGCGCGCATCTTCACCCGCCTCTCCAGCATGCGCCTGCCCTCCTGCGCGAGCAGCACCGACTTGAGACGCCTTCTGGTCGTCTCTTCGCGGGGTGGCAGCGGAGAAGACAGCCCGCTCGCGAGGGCGTAGGCGCACAGCAGCAGTAGCAAACGACAGACCGCGGCGAAGCGCATGGGTGGGATGCTGTTGTAAGCGATCGGGTAAGCGGGTGAAGATGCGCGCTGTTGTTAGCGGATCGGGCGGCGGCGACGATCGGTTCATCAGCGAGGATTTTTCTTCTTTTCCCGGGGGGCCAAGCGTTCTTCTTCCCCAACAAAGCCGCGCGAGGCCGCCCGCCTTCCACGTCGGCGCCATGCTCCCGCCTCGCCTTCGGGCTCTGGCGGGTGTGATGGGCCCGTCACGCAAGTTGTGCCTCGGGGAGGATTACATGGAAAAGCAAGGGGAAACAAGAAAAATATCCGTGCGATCGAAGGTCGCCGTCAGGTCGCCGCTCTCGGTGCAAAGACCGGGAAAGAGCCTCTGCAGACACGATGCTCGCCCTCTCCGCCGCCGCCCCGGCCCTGCCTGCGACGACGGCCGCGGGCCGCGGCGTGCTTAGCCCTGCTCAGCCGACGCCGTCCGAGTGGCACCGAGCGCGGCGACGAGCCATACTCGAGGCGCACCCATCCATCGTGCGGTCGCTGGTCGGCAAGGAAACGACGACCGTGCCGCTCCTTGCCGCGGCGAATCTGGCGCAGGTAGGAGCGTGCATCGCAGGGTCGCACCTTCCGGGGTACGAGCTGGCGCCCGCAGCGGTGCTGGTCGGCGGCACCCTCTCGCTCTGGCAATTTGCGCTGCTGCATGACGTCAAGCACGGCACCGCGGAGCTGCCGAGGGGCGTGCGGATCAACGACGTCGTCTTCTGGGGCAGCCTGCCCTCGCTCTTCGGCTACTACCTGTACCTGCGCTGGGGCCACCTCAGCCACCACGCCAACTTCGGAGAGAGGCGCATCGCCGAGCTGTTCGACTCGGAGCAGGACAAGTTCGAGGACGGCGACGTCATGTTCGTTGCGCATCGGCAGCTGCTCCTCGGCGACGAGCGGAGCGAGCGGCCGGGCTTCTTCGGCGGCGAGCAGGTCGGCGGGCTCGGCCTCTCCATCTCGCGCACTATCTACGCGTGGCTCTGGTCTGGCCGCGAGGGGTGGGCGTGGTACAATGCGATGGTGTACGCCGTCGGGATGGCCTACGAGCGAGCGGCGCTCGTCGTGGGTGGAGGGTGGGTTCCTGCGCTCGCCGGGCGCAACTTCTTCTTCCCCAACAAGCCGCAGGCCTTCCACTCGGACTGCGCCGCCTACGCGCGCGCCTCCGCCGCGCTGCAGCTGCTGCTGGTCGGCCTAGCCGGCCCCGGCGCGTTGTGGTGGCTCTTCTGGGCCGAGGTGGGCTGGCAGCTGCCCATCCACCCGGCGAGCGCGATGTTCGTCTCCAACCACCCGTCGCTCGACGCGCCGCGCGGCGAGGGCGTGGGCGGCTGCCAGCCGACGGCCTCCATCTACCTCGAGGGCGCGGCCGGCGAAGCCTTCGACTGGCTCTGCTGCTTCTCCAACTACCACACCGAGCACCACGACTTCCCCGACGTGCCCGCCTTCCGGCTGAAGCAGCTGCGCGACGCCGCGCCCGAGTTCTACGCCGACGCGGCGCTCGCCGGCGCGCGCGACGGCTGGCGCGAGACGATGCGCCGCACTTTCGAGGGCAGAGGGTTCTACGCGTGCACCGGCGCACTCGAAACGGTCGACGAGGCAGTAGAGCAGTGGTCGTACGGGCCGACTTTGTAGATTGTAGTTGTTAGTTCCAGTGGGTTAAACTCGAACCAACTGCAGTATACTCAATGAGTAACGAGAAATCTGCGGATAGCTAGATGAGAGAGCATTGCGGGATCCAGCTCAACCACCACACCAACAACGGTGAATACAAAGACAAGCGCCCACACTCGCGTGAGAAAGAAACACGCCAGCCAGAGTTGTTGTCGAGCGAGAGTCGCGTTGCGGCGGGGCGCGCGGGCGGCGCCGGGTGATGGTCAAGAATAACTACTCCAGCGGCCGCAACGACGACCGGCTGCAGAACCCAAACGGCAAGAACCTGCCGCAGGCGTTCGCCGACGTTGACGACAAGGACGACAAGCGCGAGAACTTGACAGACGTGCTGCCGTGCCACCCATACTCGGCGGTGGGCAACATGAACCTCAACAGCATGCTGATTGAGAACATCCGCTCGCACGACTACTTCAAGGGGCTCGGCGAGCTCTCCACTTTCGAGGAGGTCGTCGACCAGATCTACTACGACTGCACGTACATCACCCCGTGGCGGCCCGGCACACACAAGGCGCAGCGCGCCGCGGGCATGTGCTCTGGCCTGCGGGGCGTCTCGAACGCGGGCGTGCCATCGACGGCGTACATGCTGCTCTTCAAGCTCTACACGCTGCAGCTCACCCGCAACCAGATCCTGCGCCTCGTCACGCACAAAGACTCGCCGTACATCCGCGCGATCGGCCTGCTGTACCTGCGCTACGTCTGCGAGCCCAAGGAGCTGTGGGGGTGGTACGAGCCGTACGTGAGCGACCCGGAGATGTGGTCCCAGCTCGGCGAGGGCGGAGAGCGGAGCACCCTCGGTTCCTTCGTCCGCCGGTGAGCGCTCTCCCCGCCCTCTCCCCCGCCCTTTGCCCCCTCCCCCGCCCTCCCCTTTTCCTTTCCTCCGCACCCCTGGGGAACACGGGCGCCCTTTGCGGCGGCCCCCCCGCCCCCCCCCCCCCCCAGCCTCTGCACCGAGCTCGAGTGGTACGACACGATGCTGCCTCGCCTGCCTGTCCCCGTCGCCCGGGACATTGAAAAGAAGCTCGCTGAGGCGACGGCCGCCGGGACCCAACGCGAGCGCGGGCGCGACCGCGAGCGGCGCGACGAGCGGCGCGACGACGACGAGCGCGGTCGGCGGGATGAGCGGCGCGATGAGCGGCGCGAGGAGCGGCGCGAGGAGCGGCGCGAGGAGCGGCGCGAGGAGCGGCGCGAGGAGCGGCGCGAGGAGCGGCCGTACGAGGAGCAGCGCCCCTCGAACCCGCCTCGGTACGCCGACCTCGACCAGCCCGCGGAGGGGCGGCGCGGCGAGGGGCGGAGGGAGGAGGGGCGGAGGGACGAGCGGTACGAGCGGCGCGACTACGAGCGGCGCGACGAGCGGCGCGACGACGAGTATCGAGGAGGCGGAGACGCCTTCCGAGGGGAGCGGGGCGACTACCGAGGGGAGCGGGGCGACTACGGCCGCGGAGGCGACTACGGCCGCGGAGCCGGCTATGGCGGAGGCGGGTATGGCGGAGGCGGGTATGGCGGAGGTGGGTATGGCGGGAGCGGAAGCGGCTACGGCGGCGGCGGCGGCAGCGGCGGCGGCGGCTACGGCGGCGGCGGCGGCGGCTACGGCGGCGGCGGCGGCGGCTACGGCGGCTACGGCGGCGGCGGCGGCGGCTACGGCGGCGGCGGCGGCGGCTACTACGATCGGCGGCGGGAGGAGAGGGGGAGGGAGGAGAGGGGGAGGGAGGAGAGGCCAGCCGGCGGCTCGTCCCAGCCGCCCGTGTACGCAAGCCCTCCCGCCCCTCCCGCCCCTCCCGCCCCTCCCCCGCCCTCCGCCCCGCCGCACGAGGAGCTGCTCCGGCAGCCCGACCGGGCACACGACCGGGCACACGACCGGGCACACGACCGCTCGAATGACCGCGCGGCGCCGGAGCCGGAGGCGAAGCGGCCGCGGCTCGAGGAGGAGGGCGGCGACGCCGACGCGCCGAAGGCCGAGTCAGCGACCGAGAAGCTCGCTCGGCTGCGCGCCCTGCAGGCGGCGCGGTCGGGCTTACACGGCGGCCGTGTCGGCAGCGACTACACTTCGCGAAAGCGGTAGTCGAGCTCGGGCGGCGGCATGGGAGGGGCGAAGCAGTGCCGTCCACCGATGCAGGGGACGGGCGGGACTGGCCCTCTCCCACTCGAGCTCGCGTCTCCCTGCCCGCACACCCTGGCGCGTGCCTCCTGCTGCTCGCTGTCCAGCTTTCACGCTCTCTCGCGGAGTCGTGGTGCCCCGGCTGCGTCTCACGAGCGGGTGCTGATGGATCCATCGTCCGGTTGCCCGAATCGTGCCAGGGAGCGGCTGAGGGCCGTGCATGTCGAGATGTTATCGTGCACGCAGCCCCATCGGGAGGACACCGAGGCGCGCTGCGCGCGTTGGGTGGCTGGGTGCCTCTGCGATGCTTGGGTTTGTTACTTTCCTAGGGGGGGAGGGGGGGGGGGAGTGCGCCGGCCTGCGTCACGGCTCACGCCGTCAATAAAAAACCTACTCCCCTGTGCGCTCCCGTCTGGCAGGTCGTCTGGCGTAGCCGTAGCAGTCGGTCGCGGCGGGGTCGCCGTCCGCGCCCCGCCGGCGCGCGCGGGGAGAGCGAGACCCGGAATGTGTGGCCGGCGCTTCCGCGCTGCGATGTGTTGAGTGCGTGTGGGCCGGTGGGGGGCTGCTGCATGCTCAGTATTATAAATTTGATTTAGCGTCCTCACACGTCGCCGCTCGACGAGGCGCGCCGAGAGCCTCTGCCCTCTACCACCGGCCCTGCGCCGACGCATCCAAGCCCAGGCGCGGTGCTGCTGTGCGGCTTGCGACCGCCCTGCTTCTGCAAAGCGGCGAGTCGATCCCCTTTGCGCCGGAGCTCGCGTCGGGCGGTGCAGAGGATGACGCAAGCGGAGCGCACCGAGGTCTGCAGCCGCTCTTTGGCCGTGCCGACCGCCTCCCTCAGCGTCAGCACCTCCGCCTCGAGCGCCTCACGCTCGCCCTTAGCGGCGGCGAGCGAGCGGCGAAGCGTGAAGTCGGATGGCCGCTGCGGCACGTCGACGAGGTTGCTGTAGAGGTCCGCCGTCAGATCGTCTGCCAGCGTGCTGGACCCCGCCGCGCCACCGGCCGTCTGAGGTCGCGATGGCTGTGCTGGGGCTCGCTTGACGCGTTTGGCCTCTCCTCCTCGAGCCTCTTCCTCGCACGCCTGCACACCAGTGGCCGCCGCCGCATCCGGCTCCGATCCCTCCTCTCCGCTCATCGCCTCACCGTCTCTGCACACCTCGCCGCGCCGCGCTGTAAAGAATTTTCAGCGCCTTTTTTTTTCACAGCAGACAGGCTCGACACAGGTGCGGACTGGCGCGTGCTAGCACAGAACCACCTGACGCAAAACTTCTCGCACTGTAAAAAAAGAAACGCAAAACTTCTCGCAAAACTTCGAGAGAGTCAAAACTTCTGGGCTGAAAGCTGCCCGCGAAAACACAACAACACCTGCCTGACGAGTACAGCTAAAGAGTACCCGGGGCCCCCCATGCGAAGAGGGGGCCCGTGAACATCTTTAGCTTGTGAGCCAGGAAAAGGGTTGAAAACAATCATAAATAGTTAGAGGCTGCGCAGGCCGTCCCGTTTGCATGTTGCATAAAACCAACGCCGCCGCGCGCTGCGCGCGCCGGCTCTGTCTCATTCACGTGCCACAACATGTGTCACACACGGCGGCTCCGGCAGCGGCACCTCTCGATCGGTTCCACTTTCTACGCACACGGGGGGCGGGAGGGGGGGGGGGGGCGGGGGCGGGGGCGGGGGCGGGGGCGGGGGCGCGCGCAGCGCGCAGCGCGCGCGCTGCACCACACACCACACCGAGGCAAAAACTTCAAGGAGGGGGCGGCGGCGGCGGCGGCGGCAGCGCGCGCGCGGCGCGCGCGACGGAGGGGCGGAGCAGCGACCGCTGGCGCGGTCGCTGCTCCGTCTGTGCCAGCGACGCGCGCTCTGGTGCAGAGCGCGCGTCAGGAAGCGTGGCGGCGCGGGACGCGCGGCGGCGGCGGCGAGCAGCCGAGCGCTCCGTGCGCGGTGAGGCGGCCGGGTGAGGGCGCGGCGGGTGACGGGGCAAGGGAGCAGCCCACACCCGGCCGTCGCTTTTGAGCGACGCTGTGGCACGCCTGCGCAGGGGCCGCAGGGCGGTCAGTTGTGGGGCGAGGCGGTGCCGGCCGCGGGCCGGGTGCAAGGCGCCGGCCTCGGCGCCGCCTCGGCGCGCCGCACGGGCGCGGCGAGCCTCTGAGCGGGAGCCGAAGGTTTGCTGCGGTAGGTAGGTGGGAGGGAGGGAGGGTGGTGGGGTGGTTTGACTTTGCCGCAGAGGCCGTCCCTAGCTGTGAACAGCAAAACGGGACAGTATTTCGGAGGATCCCGCTGGTGGAAAAAGAATTTCCCTCACGCACACTCGGACGAACACAGACGTGGCGACCTCCGACCTGTTCCTTTTCACAAATTTTACCCATCTCACAGTAAATAAATAAATAAATAAAAACGGACACCTCTCTACTGTGAGATGGGTAAAAAGGATCAGGTCCCCGCCCTTGCGATCTTTGTGCAGGGTTCTTTGTGGGTGTGGTCGGTGACTAGCCGGGGTCGTCCTCCCGATGGGGGACTAGCACTAGCCGTCTTCCACATGGTCCCTCGGGTCCCTGCTGCTCCTAATCTCTTCGTACATCCTCCTGCTGATCTCCGCAAAGTCCTGCTCCCTCCCTCGTCTCGCCCTGCGCGTCTGCTCCGCCTCACCGTCTTCTGCCCTGCGTCGTGGCTGTGGCGAAGCTAGAGGTGTCCGTTTTATTTATTTATTTCGGACGAACACAGATACCATGTGATTTTGTTTTATGGCACATGACGGTACGGCGGAGAGAGCGGACTCTCTCTCCGCCTCTCTTCTCCTCGAGCGCGTCTCGCGCACTCTGCGCTGCCCGGTGTGACAGCCGGCCGCACCGCTCGGGTGTTGCGTTCGTTTGCTCGCTCCTCTCTCTCGCTCTCTGCCTATGGCTACGCTCCTCCCCCTGCCCGCCTGGCTACCTCCCCCTTTGTCCGGCGGCCAGCCAGAGGCCGGCTCCCTCCCGCGCCCGCCGAGTGAGCTGCCGCCCGCCGCTCGCCGCCTCTGCCTCCGCCGAGAGGGTCACTCGTGCAGGTCACTCGTCGTCAAAGAGAGAGTCGGACGGGTCGCCGCCGCTGCCGCCCTCCGAGGCCGCCTCGGAGGCTGCGCCGTCCGCCTCGTCCTCCCCCGCCTCGTCCTCCCCCGCCTCGGAGGCGTCGTACTCGCCCTCGCTCTCCTCCTCGCCCTGCCTGCTGCTGTAGCCCGCCTCGCTCATCCCGTCGAGCCCGTCGTCGCCGAGCCCCTCGCCGTCGCTCTCCAGGTCGAACAGGTCCGACTCGGAGATCGCGTCCCCGTCCGCCTCGGACGCAACCTCGGACGCCTCGTCCCCCAGCTCCGAGTCTCCCATCTCCGAGTCGCCAACCTGGCCGCGACGAGGAGACGGTCGAGGAGGAGACGGCCGAGGAGGGGAGGGCCGAGGAGGGGAGGGCCGAGGAGGGGAGGGCCGAGGAGGGGAGGGCCGAGGAGGGGAGGGCCGAGGAGGGGAGGGCCGAGGAGGGGAGGGCCGAGGAGGGGAGGGCCGAGGAGGGGAGGGCCGAGGAGGGGAGGGCCGAGGAGGGGAGGGCCGAGGAGGGGAGGGCCGAGGAGGGGAGGGCCGAGGAGGAGAGGAACGAGGCAAGCGCCGCCACCCGCCCCTTCGCCGCCCCCCGCCTCCCCGCACACCCACCGCAGACGCGTCGCTCACTTCTCCGAGCGAGCCGACTGCTGCTGCCAGCACCGCCGCCGCCACCGCCGCCGCACCGCCGCCGCTGCTGCTACTACTCCGACTGCTAACCGCCACCGCTGCCGCTACTACGGCTGCTCACCACAGACGCGTCGTCCTCCTCGAGCGAGCCGAGGGGCTGCTTGCCTCCCGTGCTCTCGTGCTTGCCGCCCGTCGCAGGGTGCTTGCCGCCCGTCGCCGGCTGCTTGCCCGCCACCCCGTTCGGCGCGCCGCCCTCCTCTCCGCCGGCCGGCCCGCCCTGCCCCGCCCCCGCCCCCGCCTCGCCGCCGTCGTCGAGCTCGTCAAAGTTGACCGCCGAGTTGACCGCCGAAGGGCCCGCCGGCGCGGCGGCGGGAGCGGCGGGCGCCGGCGCCGCTCCGCCTGCTGCTGCGTCCTCCGAGTCGGAGTCCGAGTCGGAGAGGACCGGCTTGACCGCCGCCTAACCAGTTCAGCACGTAGCCCAGCTCAGTCCATCGTCCGAGGCGGGGAGGAGAGGACCGCTTGACTAAGACCGCTTGACTCAGGGCTTAGCTCGACTCATAGAGGACTACTAGATGAGAAACAAGCGCCTCCTCCGCCGCAGCCTCCTCCTCCCCGAGGTTGCTGCTCGCCCACGCGTCCATCTCGGCCGCCTCCTCCTGCTGCCGCTGCTGCTGCCTCGCCTGCTCCTGCGCCGCCGCCGCCGCCTCCGCCTGCTGCTGCTCGAACGCCTGCACCGCCGCCGCAGCCGCCGACGACGCCGACGCCGTCCGCTCGACAGCGGCCATCGAGGTCTGGCGCTGCACTCCGCCGCCAGCCGCACCGGCCGCCGCCGGCGCTGCGGCTGGCTGCGGCGCGTCGGGCGAGTGGTCCTGGGCAAGCGCCTCCCTCTCGGCGGGCGGCGGCGGCGGCGCGTCGAGGTGCAGCGAGGCGAACTTCCGGTCGAAGGTCTGGCGGCGGGCGGGAGAGGGGACGGGGGGGGAGGGGCCGTGGGGCGAAGGGCGCGAGGCGCGCGGGGAGGGCGGTCTCGCGGAGGGCGAAGCGGTACCGTGAGGAGCTTGCGCGCGTCCTCGTGCACGAGGTTGCCTGCGGGGGGCGCGTGCCACGTGTCGCCGCACCAGCCGCGAGCCAGGTGAGCCGACCCTCCTCCCGACCCTCCTCCGCTCACGGGCACCCCCGCCCTGCGCTCCCGCCTCGCCTGGCGGGTTGAAGCGCATCGCGTTGTTCAGCGTCAGGTGCACCGCCGCCTTGAAGTCGTCGGCCGAGCCGAACTTGCCGCCCGACAGGTGCAGCCGCACGGTGCCTGGGCGCGGGAGGAGGGCTCGGAGAGGAGGCGCTCTGGCCGGCCCTGGCGGCGGGGAGGGGAGGGGAGGGGAAGAGCGCGAGGTCGCTCCGGTGCGCGCGGGCGCGCGCGCCAAAGTCCATCGGGTTCTCGACGATCGTGAAATAGTCGGGAAGGTTGAGCGCGACCGGGTCGACGGGAGTGTTGAAGGGCGCGGCCGTCTTTGTCGCCATCAGACCCTTGAGGATGGAGCCGCAGGACTGCTGCCAGCTCGGCGCCGCGTCCTCGCCATTGATCCACCGCGCCGCGATCTGCGGGTGCCGCTGCTCGAACGCCACGAGCTGAGCCGCGCTCAGCTCCTCGACGTCAAAGTCGGTGGGGTTCACGCGCATCAGCCGGTACTTGAAGCGGTCGCGCGTGAGCATCTTCTTCTTCTGCGCGGCCGCCGAGCTGCCGCTCGGACGCTTCGACATGGCCGCGGGCCCGACTGGCAGGTCGTTAACGAATGTACACCGCGCGCCTTCCGCTGGGTTTGGCTCCTCTTGAGGATACGGGGCCCACGTTTCACACCTTTGAAAAGGCCGTTCAAACGCACCCTCTCGCCCCATGCAGCCGGCTGCTTGCTGGTGGCACTAGGGCCGCTGGGACGCGCAGGAAGAATACGGCCGCCCCATTCTTTTCTCGCAAAACGCCCATTGTCCACTGGCGTCGAGGTGTGTATATGCCCCGGTCAGCCGTCTCGCCGGCGCGCAGCCGTTCGCCCGCCGCTGGCAAGTCGCCCGCGCGATCGAAATCGCCCGCCCGCTCAAAGTCACCCGCCCGGCCCGCCACGCCCGCCAAGTCCGAGAAGAAGGCCGACGGCGAGAAGAAGGCCGACGAGCTCGCCGCAGCTGATTCCGTTGAGCCCAGTGGTGCCAAGGCCGCAGCCAAGACGACGAGCGCGGCGGGGAAGTCGCCAAAGGCGGAGAAGCCGCTCAAGCCAGCGGCACCGAAGCCGGCCAAGAGCGCCAACATCGTGTTTGTGCTCTCTGCGCTCGCGGTGCTCGTGGCACTCGCTTGGGTCGTGCTCGTCCCGGCCGGCGGCAAGGCCAAGAAGCCAAAGGCCATCAAGGCGGCCCTCCGCGCAGCGCGCTGCGCCGCCCGAGAGGGCGAGGAGGCCTCTCATCGTCGGTTCTCCCGCCCGCAGGCGCCGTTTGCCTCGGAGAAGGCGTTTGACGGGCAGTCGGTCCGGGCAAAGGGCTTCCAAGGGTCGCACGTCATCAGCTTCACGGACAAGAGCTGCCCGCACTGCGTCGAGGCGACTGAGGCCCTCGACGGCCTCGAGGCGAAGCTGAAGGCGCAGGCGACGAAACTCGCAGGCGCGAGAGCCGGCCAACCGCGCCGCCGCCGCCGCCGCCGCCGCCGCCCTCGCCGCTTTCCGCCGTGGCCTCCCGGGAGGCTGATCCTGCGCGCGCCCTCTCGCGCTCCGCAGGCAAGCTCAAGGTTGCGCAGGTCGATTGCTCCAAGCACGCCGACGTCTGCACCGACTTTGGAGTCGCTGGAGACAGCGAGGACGCGAGCGGGTACCCAACCTTGCTCTGGTTCCGGGCGGGCGAGCTGCAGGCGAGGAGAAGCTCCGCCACCCACGCCCGCCCGCGCGTGCGCCCCGCGCCGACGGCTCACCTTGGCGCGGCACGCCTCAGGGAGCGTACGACGGCGAGAGGACAACGCAAGGCCTCGAGGAGTGGGCGATAACCAAGGAGGCGGAGGGGGCGCTCACGCAGTAGCTCTCTGGGCGGCGTCTTCCAGGTAGCCGCGTCGGCAGGCGTCCCGCTGCGGCAACGTGGCCCCAGGACGGGGGAGGAGAGCTGCAGTCTCCCAAGGGGCCTGAGCAAACCCGATGAGAGACCCGAATCCCGACTCGCGATTGGTTATGCCGCCGGTGTTCACAGTTCAATTATACAGTGTATTGCGGCGCGGCGAGGCGGCGGTGCCCAGTGCTTTAGTTACTTATTTATAACGCTGGGACGAAATACATTCGACATCTGAAGAGCTACAGCTAAGTTGAGATATGAAGATGACCCGTCGCCAGACACGACGCAGGGCAGAAGACGGTGAGGCGGAGCAGACGCGCAGGGCGAGACGAGGGAGGGAGCAGGACTTTGCGGAGATCAGCAGGAGGATGTACGAAGAGATTAGGAGCAGCAGGGACCCGAGGGGCCATGTGGAAGACGGCTAGTGCTAGTCCCCCATCGGGAGGACGACCCCGGCTAGTCGCCGACCACACCCACAAAGAACCCTGCACAAAGATCGCAAGGGCGGGGACCTGTTCCTTTTTACCCATCTCACAGTAGAGAGGTGCCCGTTTTTATTTATTTATTTATTTAGATATGAAGATGAGCACTACGTCCTCCGTACGTGGAGCCGCATGAATTCATTTTTTCTCAACGGACAACGCACAACGGTGCGGCTGACCGTGAGACCTGAGACCGTGCGGAGAGAGGTGAGAGCCCAGCGCGCGGGGACCCGGGGGGTCGGTCGGAAAAACTCGCGACAAGAGCGTGTGCAAAGGTGCATGGCCGCGTGACCCCCCCTCCGCTTGAGCCTGCGCGAGAGACCCCCACTGGCGCTATCTCTTCTGGTTTTACATCAAAGCACAAAAGGCGCTCTCCCTCTCGCTGACGCTGTAGCCACCACCCGCCGAACTCGCCAACGCTCGACGTTTCGGCCCCTTATTGCCGCTCAGGCGCGAGTCGCCCATCGCGTACGTCACGGTGAGATCGGCCAAGACGGCCCGGTGGTCTGATGTGCGCATCTCCGCACACGAGTCGTACCGCTCTACTCGTACAGAGCCCGGCTGCATCTCCCGCCATAGCACGCGGTCCGTATAGGCGGGGACGCGGCACTTCTCGGAGGTGTCGTAGCGATCACTCTCCACGTCATACTTGTACGTTGGCCGAAAGGCGATGGGTGCCTCCTGGAAGCCGTGAAAGGCCCTTCCGGCCGCCCTCTCTTGCGTGAGCTGGTCATTGGCGAGCAGCACTGCTCGCATGCTGTCCCAGTGAGCACCTGCACCCTCCCAATGCGACGACCTGCAATCCATCTCGCTCGGCGGTTGTAGCAGCGAGTCGATGATCTTGCGGTTTCCACACACCCGGTAGTTCAGGTCTCCGAGCCAGACGCAGACATCAAAGGCGGCGCTGCACGACGGCCCCTCTCCACCTTGAGGGTCGCCGCGCCACGGAGGAGGGCGCAGCCCGAGTTGTGTGTCGATCCGGCGGTAGTCGGCGTTGCGCTGCGCTACTGCGCTCGTGTGCGCTGCGAGGTGACTGTTGACAAACAGCATCGTCGTTTGGCCCAGGCTGAGCGATACACCGACGCCGCCTTTGTTGCCGAGCGCATTGCCAATGCCAGTGGCGACATGGGCTGTTCGCACGTGGCTGATCGAGGGGAGCAGGCCGCGGCGCACAAACAACGCGAGGTGGATCGCCGCGAGTGTGTGCGAGGCGACACAAACGTACTCGCCCCCGAGCGCCTCGCGAAGCTTCGCCTCCCACTTTGCCTTTGAGGGCAGCAGCAGCGACATCTCTATCGAGCGGCATGCCTCCTGGGTGCCGATGGCGTACATGTCGTACTGCGGTGCGCCAGTGTCAGTGCCGGCTTGAAGCCAGGGTCGCAAGTCACGCGGTGGGTCCTTACCATGCAGGTTCCAAGTTCCCACAAAGACCCGAGCGGCAGCGGTGCTCCCAGCTGCGGCCGCCGCCACCGCAGGAGCACCTCCGGAGGATTCCCCCACGAGCTCTGATGCCGCGGCAGCCAGGCCCTGTCGGGGCGTTGCACCACACGAGCCAGAGCCTAGCCTCAGCAACCTCGGGGGCGGCGTCAGAGACACCGCAAAGCTCTCGCCGCGGCCGGCGTGGTCGGTGTGTACTAGCCCAATCGGAACGTTGGGATCGACTTTCGACGACCGGGAGACGTGTACCATTCCTGGCTTGTGGGTCGGCTCGTCGCGCCGTGCCGACGGTTACATAGGACCACGGTGCGATGGTAAAACAGTTTGCTAGGTTATTGGCAAATCAAGACACAGAGCTCCCAAAATCACAGTGGGTGGACAGCGAACGAGTCACTTAACAGGGGTCGATTGGGGCGGGCCACCCTGTCCAGACAGAGGCGGACGGACAGGTGCCTTTCTGCGATCTTGCGATCGAGTCAATCAACCCTCGGCCACGCTCTCCTTTCGTGGCTGATAAGCATTCGCAGACCAGGCGATGGAGATGGCGGGGAGCACGGGTGTGACTGCTCACCAAGGCCGACCGAGGGGGGCACGAACGAACGAACGAACGACACGCACCGACCGACCCTTCACGAACCGAAAGGCGCGGGACACGGTAATCCGGCCTCGAAGTAATAATGGAGAGGTGTACTAAGTCTCTCTAAGTGAAGGTCTACTAAATCTAAAACCCTTGGGCCATCTGCTGTGCCCAGGCCGCATGCCTCGGACAGCGTTCGAAAACTTGAAGGTGGCAGCAGACGTGATAGGAGCGCGATCTTCGCACCGATGCGCTGGGTGCGAGCGACCTTCGGTGAAGCAGTGAGTTCCCGAACCAGCCCTGCTGTGGCTGACGACTCCTCCCCGCCCCGCATCAAGCGATCTCCGAGTCGAACCGACTCATCCGGCCACAAATGGCCACGCGCCGCAGTCGCGCCGCAGTTGCGGGTGAGCCACGCCGACGAGATGCAGCAGGAGCTGCGGCACGGCAGCACGCTTAGGCGCAAGGTGTGCGCATTACGAATGCTCTCGCCCTTTGGAGCCTACATGACCGAGAAGGAACTTGAGCGCCTCGCCAAGGCCTGCGCGTTCTGCAACATCCGACTCGGCGCAGAGCTCACCGACTCACCCTTCTATGTGCTCATCTGCGGCAGGGTGGCGGTGAAGCGCGCGTCGGACGAGGACGTGATATGCACCAAACAGCAAGGGGCCTTCTTCACACGCAGAGTCGGAATGGGGCAGGTTGGTCAGCGGTCCGAGCTGTCCATCAGCACTCGGCTAGTCGGAGCTGCCGACCGAAGCAAGGTGCTGCTTGTCACGTCGTCGCACATGCTCGGACAGTTCTACTCTGAGGTGAGCACGCTGGGGCGGGAGGCATTTGTTGACGTATGTGCCTCCAACATTGGCACGCAGCTCAACGAGGTGCCCTTCATCAAGGAGGCGCGACTGATGCCGCGAGACCTCGTCCAACTCGGCGAGCTTTGCTCCTACCTCGCGGTAATCGCTCCCGCCTGCCTGTCCACTGACCTCCACACCTGGCAGCCCGGGCGACACCACGCCATGTCCGTTCTCCTCAGGTCCCTGCCGGCGCGCGCATCTTCGAGGAGGGCGACGAGGCGACCAGCTTCTACATCATCCTCAAGGGCAAGGTCGCCAGCCTCGTCAACGAGAACACGCTTTCCGTCGAGAACGACGCCGATGCCGACAGCGAGGTGTACGCGGGCGTGCGATGTGGCGGCGAGACCTTTGGGGTTGCAGCGATGGTGTACAACGCGCGGACGCGCAAGTACGGGATGGAGGCCAAGGAGACGACGCTGCTGCTCGTCATCTCGCGCGAGAACTTTCGTGCATTCCTCGCCACAAGCCCTCGGCTGCACGAGTCGCTGATGACGTCGACACGCCACTTCCTCGTGCAAAGGCTACCACACTGCCACAACCATCTCTTCAGCAGTCGCTGCTCTCGACGACGGATGCACCCTGGAGACCGCCCCCGGCCGGCTCCGTCCCACCCCTGATTGCCTTGCCCGCAGGCACTCAGCGTACAAGCACTCCATCTTTCGCCGCACCACGCCGGAGATGAAGGAGACGATTGCCCGCAAATCGAAGCTGGTCAACTACGCCGAGGGCCAGCCCGTCTATCACCGCGGGGCGCAGCCGGTGGCCTTTTACATCGTCGCCCACGGGGAGGTTGGAATGAGCTTCGACGGCGAGGGCGGCGACCATCTTACGCAGACCACGCTCGGGCCGGGAAAGCACTTTGGCGAGTTTGGGCTGCTACTGCAGGACAAGCCTTGCATCGCGACGGTACACTGCACGCAGGACACGACGCTCCTCGTGCTCGAGGTGCCTGTGTTTGTGGAGATCTTCTCAGCGGCCGCCTTTGAGCTCCGTGTGGAGCTTCTCATAAAGCTCGAGGGTGCTCCGGCCTCTGCCTTGGCCCACCCCGTCACTGTACCACACCGCATCAGGGGGGGGGGGGGGGGGCACGTGTCGCCGATCACCACTCTTGATTGTCCCGCAGGGAAGAAGTGTGGCCTGCGGACCGCGCTCCACCACGCCGACAGCCACGCGGCATTCGTCCGCTTCGCGGTGGCGCTGCTCGGCAATGAGAGCGTGCCAGTCGGAGTGTACAACGCAGTCCAGCGATTTTTGCAGCGGGAGAGCGTGGCGAGCAGTGCGATGCCCGGGCTCAGACCAATCACGCGTCAGATGGTCAACCGGCACCTCCACGGGGAACTGAATGCGATCGTCAAGGAGGCAGGGGTGTTTCTCATAGCGCGGGGCAGCGTGCCGGCCGACGCGCCCGACTTGCAGACCGAGTACCAGCTGAACGCGCTGCAAGAGTCCTTAGAGGAGCTCCACAGCGGGGTTCAGTTTGTGCAGTCGACGAGCCAGGTGCTGGCCGAAGCACTGCCACTGCTGCACAAGGTGGAGCGGTCCTTTCGCGGGGTCCTCGAGGCCGCGTGGCCGCACTTTGTGGAGAGCGCCTGCTTCGACGCGCTCCTCGACCAGGCACGCCGGCGCTCTGCTCGCCCATGGTCCCCAGCCACCGCATCTGAACGCACCCCCGCGCGTCTCAGATTGGAGCCTACGACGACCTGGCTCGGCGGCACGTCTCGCCAGCCGACACACAGGACATTGTCGACAGCATCGCGCGGAGGGACCTTGAGGAGCGGCTCCTGCTCGTCGATGGAAGCAGAGCGGGAGAAAAATAGCGCGCCGGACGCCTCACTTGGAGCTTAGGAAATGGAGGATTGCATTCTTCGAGATCTGTCCCTGAAACGAGAGAGGGGTTAGACGCAGGATCGATTCTGCCTCTCCCTCTTCTAGGGGTGGGAGGCCGCCCCAACCCTGCCCCAACCCCGCGACGCCGCGCGTGCGCCGTGGGAGGGACGATTAGGGAGGCAGGGACGATTCACGACATCAAACGTTCTTACTGGTGGAACGTGGATATCCAAGCAAGAAGGTAGAAAGAAACTAGAAAGGGCTCTAAGGGGGTGCGTGAGGCTCTGTGTGCTGTTTGAGCTCTAGCACCTCTACGTAGAGCAGCGTCGCTCGTCTAGGGCGCCGCGTTAGGCTATATATTGTTGCGTACGTCGTAGCCTCAGGTACCGATTTCTCACGTCCCACAACCGTTTCCACGGGCACCAACGCTATAGTAACTCTCGTTCCTTCTACTGGCGCCCCCCCGCCATGTCCACGTTGGGCCGCGCGCGCCACTCGGTCGCGGTGGCGCCGCCGCCGTCCCTCGGTACGATCACCTCTCCGACCTGCTCGACGCGCCAAGCCCCGCCGGCAGCACCCGCCCCGTCGCACTTTAGGGTGGTGACCGAGCCGTTGCTGATGTGAGGCACCTCGCCGTCCATCCCGCCAACCTCGACGCAAGCGGTGTGCACCAGCCCGCCGTGCGAGACCGCGACGACCGTCCCGCCTGGGTGCCTCGCCGCAATCGCGCCGAGGACGTCGGAGCAGCGCGCGGCCATGCTGCCCACCGCCTCGATCCCGCCCGCCGCGTCGGCGCCCTCCTCGGCCGGTGGCGGCCGCACGCCGCAATCAAACTCGCCGCAGCTAAAGGCCGCCCAAGTCGCCGGAAAGCGGCGAGCGCACTCTGCGGGGGAGAGCCCCTGGAAGGGGCCGAGCCTCCGCTCTCGGAGCCGCTCGTCCCGGTGCAGCGCGGGCGGCGGCTGCCCGCCGGCGCCGAGCGCGTCCGCGAGAGCCTAGGCGGGGTTGAGGCGCGAAGTCTAGCCGAGAGCTGGCCGAGAGCTGGCCGAGAGCTGGCCGAGAGACAGCGAGAGCCTGCGCAGTGTCCGCGGCGCGAGACAAGTCAGACGTGTAGACGACCTGTGGCGTGGCGGAGAGGAGTGAGGGGCTGCCGCGCAACGCACACGAGACAAGGCGACGTCACCGGCGCGACACGCACTCCCGCGGCCGAGAGGCGTGACCGCAAGGCGATCCCCACCGCCGCGGCCTGCGCGCGCCCGCGAGCCGTCAGCTGCGACTCGCTCTGCCCCTGCAGCACGCCGGCCGCATTCGCCTGCGTCTCCCCGTGCCGCACGAGCAAAAGGGTGGTGCTGGTGGTGGCCGCCGCCACTCCTCCGGCGGAAGAGGCCGAACCCGCCTCCGCCGCCGCTCCCGACTCGGCGGCTCGCCCGCACGCAGCGAGGCCGCCACCGAGGGCCGGCCCGAGAGCCTGCCCGCCACCCTGCCCGCCCTGAGAGCCGCCCGGACTGCGCGCCGGCTCGGCCGCGTCGCCTGCGCAGGAACGGGGGCTCGAGGGCCGCAGGTACCACCTCCGCCACCACGGTGCACGGCGGCGCCGCTGGCGGCGGTCGGCGCGGCTCAGGGCGGCGGCCAGCCGGTCGACGGCCTCGTACTCCTCCGCCTGAAGCTCGGGGTAGAGGGTTAGGGTTAGAGGGTTAGGGTCAGAGGGTTAGCTCGTACTCCTCCGCCTGAAGCTCGGGGAGGTACCCGACCAGGGCGACGCAGAGAGCGGCAGGGCCGAGCCCGGTGCGGAGCGCGCGCTCGTCAAGCTCGCTCAGCCTCGCGGGCCAGATGCGGAAGCTTGCCTTCCGATGTCGGGCCGCCGTCATGGCCAGGAGCAGCTTGGGCGCGCGGTCTGGCCGATCCTGCGCAGAGAGGCGAAAGCAGCACTGCGCTTCATCGGCTTCTGTGCAGTAGTGCAGCATCAGGCCTCGGAGGGACGCCCGTGCCGTGATGCACGTCTCGAGCCGGCCCTCGAGGCGGTGCAGCGTCTCAAGCCGGAGCGCGCAGAGCCGCCGGCCCGCCCGGTTGAGTCGGCCACCCTGCGCGGTGCCACACTCAAGAGGGTCGGAGCGGCAGCGCTCCACCCACGCCTCGCTGAGAGAGAGACGGCTGGCCACGTCGGAGAGTCGCTGGTAGAGCGCCGCAGTGCTCACCTCCCCGCTGGCATGGCACTCGCGCTCAACCAGCCGCCGCAGCGAGGCGTCGAGGCTTGGTCGGCCAGGCATCGCCTCTCGAGCTATCGCGGTTGCCGCAGAGGGCCGCGGCGCGACGTCCAAGAATTCTTTTCCCGTGCCCAGTCCTGTACCCAGTGTTGTGCGAGGGAGTTTTGTTGTAAAATTCTTTTCTCGCCCCACACCTAAAGAGGGGACAACTCGCAACAAGGAAGGAAGAGGAGCACAAAAGAATAATTTCCTCAGGCAGTCTCGGACGGATGAGTCAGAAAATACTTAGAGCACCTACAGGAGCAAGGCATACAAACAAACACGGGGAACCTCCCTCTCTCTCCGTCAGAGTTCGCTCCCACTGAGGTCTCCGCTTTTTATTTCGCAGAGGCCCCTTATTGTATAAGGGAGAGCGAGACATCATCATTTAGAGAATGTGGGAGGGCCGAGCCCGGGACCGCGTGAGCGCTGCAGTCAGTCCTGCAGTCACACACACGCGCGCATGCATGGGTACGCGCTACGGTGGAACTCGTGTTTAATTGAACAAGGCTGACCCCTACCCCTCTCGGTGGGCTTGCAGGTAGGGGGTTTGGGTAGTCTTCGTTCGGCCGTTTAGTAGCGAACTCCCTTGTCCCTTCCCCCTCGACGGCCTTCTGACTTGCCTAGAGGTAGAGGCATGGTGGTGTAGTGTTCCTGGAGGCTCCCAAGTGCCCCCCTATGTGTCCTGGACGGGTCCCCGTGCTTGCGGACGTGTGCACAGGCGCGTGGGGGGCCGGAAATGAATTGATTGTTTTTTCAGGCACTTAGAGCACACAGTGATGGTCTAGTGTGCTCTGCGTGCAGCGCTGCGCTGGCGTGCGATGCGCGCGTGCTGTGCGCGTGTGCGTGTTGGAATCGCGCGTGAGTCTGCGTGTGCTGCGTGCGCGCCGGCGTGTGCTATGCGCTGTGCTCTGCTGTGCGCCCTGTTTGTGTAGCTGTGAGGCGCAGCCTTGGCTGGCAGGGCTGCGCGGTGGGCTGCGGCGTGCTGCAGGTGGTCGTGCGCCTGCCTGATGGTGTGCGGCGGCCGCGCAGCCCGCTCGACCGGGCCGTCGGCGGCCCAGGGTGCGGGCATGCCAGTGCGCGCTGCATGTGAGGCTTCTGCGCGGCTGGCGCGCAAGTTTCCGCGCGCATGTGTTCACGCTGCGGGCGCGGGCGGGCGCGGAGGGCGGCGCGGTCTCACCGCGGTCCGACGCCGGTTGGTCTTCGGCGTGTCGAGGGCGGGCGCGCAAAAGGCCTTGCCGCCATCGCGTAGTCGCGAAGGAAAAAGCATTCAAAGCGCAATACAGGAGCAAGGCATACAGCTGTGAAAGGGCCCCTGACGCGGGAGCAGGCCACAAAGCATGGGCCGCCCGTTGCGCGAGCGGGCGCGCCCGGTGACGTACAGAGAGCCCACCGAGAACGAAATCTTTCGCAACGCGGCGGGCGCGGCCGTCGCAACTGCGGCGCCGGCGTCTCGCTCGCGTGCCGGAGGCACTGGCTCGAGTGTCCCAGCCGGCAGCAGATCTGCTCCCCAGATCGACAGCGCACTCATGTCTCGCGTGATCCGAGCGCTCGAGGAGCGTCACATGACGCAGGGCCACCTCTGCTCCCTGCTCGGTATGAACGCTGGCAGGTTCTCGACGCTCAAGGGCGGGCGCAGGGTGCCAGACGCGATGGCGACAGAGTATGCGGCCCTCCTCTCGAGCTGGCTGGACGACCCCGACTTTCGGGTGTGCGCCCGCGAGCCTTTGCAAAAGCGTCCGCGGCAGGCCACGGCCGGAGCCGGCAGCAGCAGCGACGGAGCCGCAGAGGAGGCGCCGCCAAAGCGAGCGAGGCCGGCGGGTGAGTCTCCTCCGTGCGGGCCGGCCGAGACCGAGCCCAGGGCGCGCCGCTCGGCCACGAAGGCTCGAGAGACGGCACATGAGGAGGGCGGGGGCTGGAGCGAAGGGCGCGCGCTCGGAGCTGCTCCTCCGGCAGCGGCTCGGCTCGGCTCCCTCTCTCTTTGGCCTCGCGGCCAGCTCTCACCGCCGGGTCGGCGGCGCGTAGGCGGCAGACTCGCTCTCGGGGCTGCACGCGCAGGCGGCCCTCGTGGCGCAGCTGCAGGTGCTGCGGGAGCGAGACCGCGACTCGCTCCTCCGGCGCGCGCCGTCTCGCGCAGCGAAAGAGGAGGCGAGCACTTGCCAGACAGGGAAAGAGGAGGCGAGCGGGGGCGGCTCTGAAGTGTCGGCCGGGCGTCAGCCGCCGCCGCCGTCGCTCGATGCGATGATAGCGCGCGCGCGCGCGGGCGGGTATGCTCGCATGAGCCACGCCGTCGACGACCTCGTGGCGCTCGGGGCTGTGGCGGCGTCAGCTTCGCGCGCCGATGAGGGAGGCTCGCCAGCGGCGCCTCCTCGCGTCGCAGAGGAGGGAGGAGAGGAGGGCGACGCCGAGGGCGACGGGGAGGGCGACGGGGAGGAGGCGGCGGCGGGCCTTGACTCCCTCCTCCGCGTCGGCGTCGCCCAGCTTCGGCGCGCTCAGCTGGCGCACGGCGACCGGCTCGAGCGGCCTGCGCGCGAGCCGTGCTGCGTCGTGCAGCAAAGAGGGCTGGCCGAGGAGGGAGGGGGAGGGGAGGGGGAGGGGGAGGGGGGGGAGGCTCGAGAGCTCGAGATCGAGGAGGGGCCCTTCGGAGGGGAGCGGTGCCGCGCCGTCGCTCTCGTCCAGGGCCGGCCTCACCTCAACTACGTCCAGCTCGCCAACCGGCAGGTCGTGCACACGGCACGCACACGGCGCCCACGACACGCCCACGACACGTCCACGACACGCCCATGACACGCCCACGACACGCCCACGACACGCCCACGACACGTCCACGACACGCCCACGACACGCCCACGGCACGCCCTCTGGTGTGCCCCCAGGTGGTGCCCGTGCCGCGCTCGCGCCTCGCGCCGGCGACGGAGGCCGACACGGACGCTTGCGCCGGTGCGAGCGTCGAGCTCGCGCCGACGCCTCAACTGGTGGAGCTGATGGCTCTCCCTTCGGAGCTCGAGCGCCAGTCCCTGCTCTGCCAGCCCCTGCTGCGCCAGCCCCTGCTGCGCCAGCCCCTGCGGTGCAGCTCTTTGGCGCGGCAGCCGGAGCCGCTGCGCAAGGGCTCGCCTCCGAGAGGCATACACACATATATAGCGAGGGCGAGGGGGGGTGCGTTGGGAGGAGGGAGGAGGCGCTCACCACCGCCGCGTGGCTCGGCAGGCGGGCGAGGCGGTGAGGGAGGAGGCGGTGAGGGAGGCGGTGAGGGAGGAGGCGGTGAGGGAGGCGGTGAGGGAGGCGGTGAGGGAGGAGGCAGTGAAGAGGAGCGCGGCGCCGGCGCGCTGCAGGCGTGGGCATCTCTCCCCATCTCTCCCCATCCCTCCCCATCCCTCCCCGTCTCCTCCCACCTCTCCCCATCCCTCCCCATCTCTGCCCACCTCTCCGGCTCGCTGCAGGCGTGGGCGGAGCGGCGGTGGCCAGCCTTCGAGCGGGCGGCCCGCACGTGCGACGTACTCGTCGACGGCCGAGCCACGGCGACGCTGCTTGGTCTGGTGGCGCCGCGAGGCGGCGAGGAGATGGCTGCAGTGAGCGGGTACGGCTGCGAGAGGCCTGTTCTCGTGCGGGCGGGCCGGTGCGAGGTGGCAGCTGTCGCCGTCCTCTCGAGCGGGGCCGGCCGCTGCCGCGTGACGTGGGCGGACGGCGTCGAGAGCGAGGAGGCGGAGGCGCGGGTCGGAGGCACGGCGGCCGCGTCTTCGCCTCCGCCCCTCGCGCTACGGGAGGCGGCTACACACGATGCTGCTACACACGATGCTGCTACACACGATGCTGCTACACACGATGCTGCCGCCGGAGGGGCGCTCTCCTCCGAGCCGGGCCCCTCCCCCGAGCCGGACTCGCCCGAGCCGGACTCGCCCGAGCCGGGCAGGTGGCGGCTGCTTCTCTCGCGGCTGAGCGAGTCCGCTCGGGACGCGCTGGCCAGCGACGCCGCCGAGTGGGGGTTCGGGCCCGGCAGGCGAGGCTTGGCGCCTCAGTGGAGCGCGGGCGAGGCTGCGCTGCTCGAGCGGCACGCCGCAGACGGCTCGCACCTCGCGCTCGCCGCTGTGGCGCTGCTGCTCGGCCGCTCACCGTCGTACCTCCGCAGGCGCTGGCAGCGTTACCCAAAATGAGATCATCTTCAATGTAGATTACTTTAGATGCCTCCTGCCTCCGCAGGCGCTGGCAGCAGGCCCGCGTCGAGCGCGCCGTCGCAGGCGCGGCGGTCCCGCCAGCCCAGCCAACGGTGCGGGGCGGCAGCGGCGCAGAGCCGTCCGCAGACCGGCTTGCGAGGCTGAGCGGTTCGATGGCCGCTTGCTTGTGGCGTCTCTCCGACGCACTCGGCGACGGCTTGCCCGCCGAGGCCTAGCCCTCACCCTAGCTTGCTAGCCCTAACCCTAGCTAGAGGCTTGCCCGCCGAGGCCTAACCCTGATCCTAGCTTGCTAGCCCTAACCCTAGCTAGAGGCTTGCCCGCCGAGGCCTAACCCTGATCCTAGCTTGCTAGCCCTAACCCTAGCTAGAGGCTTGCCCGCCGAGGCCTAACCCTGATCCTAGCTTGCTAGCCCTAACCCTAGCTAGAGGCTTGCCCGCCGAGGCCTAACCCTGATCCTAGCTTGCTAGCCCTAACCCTAGCTAGAGGCTTGCCCGCCGAGGCCTAACCCTGATCCTAGCTTGCTAGCCCTAACCCTAGCTAGAGGCTTGCCCGCCGAGGCCTAACCCTGATCCTAGCTTGCTAGCCCTAACCCTAGCTAGAGGCTTGCCCGCCGAGGCCTAACCCTGATCCTAGCTTGCTAGCCCTAACCCTAGCTAGAGGCTTGCCCGCCGAGGCCTAACCCTGATCCTAGCTTGCTAGCCCTAACCCTAGCTAGAGGCTTGCCCGCCGAGGCCTAACCCTCACCCTAGCTTGCTAGCCTCAACCCTAGCTAGAGGCTTGCCCGCCGAGGCCTAACCCTCATCCTAGCTTGCTAGCCCTAACCCTAGCTAGAGGCTTGCCCGCCGAGGCCTAACCCTGATCCTAGCTTGCTAGCCCTAACCCTAGCTAGAGGCTTGCCCGCCGAGGCGCACACGCCCCCCCCCACCCACCCCACCCCACCCCCACCCCTCCCGCACCGCACCGCGTGTGCGCCCGCCCAGCGAGGCTAGCCCTCACCCTAGCCCCGACCCCCGACCCTAGCCCCCCGACCCCCCGACCCCCCGACCCCCCGACCCCCCGACCCCCCGACCCCCCGACCCCCCGACCCCCCGACCCCCCGACCCTAGCCCCCCGACCCCCCGACCCTAGCCCCCCGACCCCCCGACCCTAGCCCCCCGACCCCCCGACCCTAGCCCCCCGACCCGGCTATAGGCGTGGGACCTGCTCTCGCTCGATTGCGGGCCCGAGCTCCCCGCACCGCTCCGCGCGCACCTCAAAGCTCTCGAGGCGAGGCAGCAGAGGCGAGCATTGGCCGAGCCTCGTCGCGTTGCCTCAGCCGGCGACGTCTGCAAGCCCTGTTGCGCCGGGCCACGCGGCGGCGGTTGGGGCGAGCCAAGAGGCGGCGAGGCGTGCGGCGAGCCTTGCGTCTTCTTCCAGATCGACGACATCACGCACGAGGTCCCCGGCGGGCGGCCTCGGCCGGGCCAGCACCGCGTGCCCGTCTCCGCCATCAACGAGCTCGACTCGGAGCCGCTGCCGAGCATCTCGTACCTGCACGCGTGCGTCGGCGGCGCGGACGGCTGCGGCGGCACGGTGGAGATCGAGGCGCAGCCCGGGTTCCTCACGGGGTGCGCGGGCGAGTGCGAGTCCGGCTGCTGCTTGTGCGCGCGCGAGCAAGGCACCGCCATGGGGCACGGCGGCGCGCGCTTTGCGTATGGGCCGGGCGGTCTACTGCGGGCCGCGCCGGACGCGCTGCTGTACGAGTGCAACTCGGCTTGCGCTTGCGGCGCCGGCCGGGCTGCAGGCGAGGCCGCCCCTGACGCAGAGAGAGGCGAGGTCTTGTGCGGTTGGAGCGTAGGGGTCGACTGCCGGAACCGCATCGTGCAGCGCGGGGTGTGCGTGCGGCTGCAGGCGAGCCGTGCGCCCGGACCCGCCTCCCCTACCTGCAGCCGTGCAGCCGTGCGCCCGGACCCGCCTCCCCTGCCTGCAGCCGTGCGCCCGGACCCGCCTCCCCTGCCTGCAGCCGTGCAGCCGTGCGCCCGGACCCGCCTCCCCTGCCTGCAGCCGTGCGCCCGGACCCGCCTCCCCTGCCTGCAGCCGTGCAGCCGTGCGCCCGGACCCGCCTCCCCTGCCTGCAGCCGTGCAGCCGTGCGCCCGGACCCGCCTCCCCTGCCTGCAGCCGTGCAGCCGTGCGCCCGGACCCGCCTCCCCTGCCTGCAGCCGTGCAGCCGTGCGCCCGGACCCGCCTCCCCTGCCTGCAGCCGTGCAGCCGTGCGCCCGGACCCGCCTCCCCTGGCCCGCGCCCCTTGCTCCACGCCAGCGCGCCGCCCCGCCGCAGGTCTTCAAGACGCTGCACAAGGGGTGGGCTGTCCGGCCGCTCGAGCCGATCGAGGAGGGCCGGTTCGTGTGCGAGTGCACGGGCGAGATCAGACATTTAAGTATTGTTTATATTAATATTATGACATTATGTTATACAGGTTCGTGTGCGAGTACACGGGCGAGATCATCGCGTCCGAGGAGGCGGAGCGGCGCGGCGTCATCTACGACGCGCAGGGCTTCTCGACCCTCTTCGACCTCGACGTGGCGGGTGATTGCCACACCGCACCCGCCCGCAATACTTGTGCCCGCGCGCGCCAGGGAGCGAGTCTCGCGTCAGTCCCTCGAGGGGAGAGGAGGCGCCGCTGCGGCAGCTGCTGCCCCGACCCGCCCCCTCCCCTGCGGCGGCGCAGGGGCAGACAACGAGTACACGATCGACGCCAACGACTCGTGCGGCGTCGCGCGCTTCCTCAACCACTGCTGCGAGCCGAACCTGCGGCCGCACTCGGTCTGGGTGGACCACCCGTCGCCATCGCTGCCGCGGATCGCTTTCTTCGCCGTCCGGAGGATCGAGGCGTACGAGGAGCTCACCTTCGACTACAAGTACGACAAGGACGAGCAGGCGGGCCACAAGATCGAGTGCCAGTGCGGCGCGCCGCGCTGCCGTCGCTGGCTGCGTTGAACCGGCCTCTCTCGCGCCACGTGAAGCCAGCACCACGCGCCTTCCGCCTCGCACCAATCCCGGCAGCCCGGCACGCGGCAGAGGAGGGGTGCGGGGGCTGGCCAGCGACCTCGCGCTCCTCGGCGAGCCCCGTAGTACGCCGTCCACGGCCGTGCCCGGGAGTGGATATCGCTCGAGCGTCGAGGCTCGTGTGCACGACACATCAATCATCATTTCATACCGTAAATGTCATACCGCCAATTCGGCGCACAGAAATCACCACCATAGTCCCCCCCGCCAGAGCGCCGCCGCGCGCCGCGCCACAAGTGCCAGGAACCCCAACAGCCTCAGTCACACGCACTCCGGCGGGGGGCCACACCGCGCCCCTCCGCTCCTCCCGCCCTCCCCTCCCGTGTGCGTGTGCCTGTGGCTTTGCTTGAGCGAGTGGCCCCCGCCTCCGCCTCGTCCGTTTGACTTATTTGGCCATGCGTTGAGGTGACGCCCCGGCGGGGGAGAGCGTATCATTATTGGTCCCCTCACATGGCCCCGCCGAAGTGCACCTGCTGCATCGCCGAGTTCATCTGGTTGATCGACTTGCGCGTGAGGTCGATCATCTCGTCCACCTCCGCGCGGCAGAGGGAGAGCTCCATCGTCTCGCGGCCGATGCGGACGAGCTGCCTCTGCTTGGCGAGCACGGCCGACGCGAGCTGTGCGCCCTGCTTCTCCAGCGCCTCCAGCTGCCGCCCCGCCGAGGCGCGCCGCTCGATGACCTGGTCCATGGTCCGCTTCTTGTCTCCCCAGTCGATGCCCGGGTCGCGCACAATCTTCAGCCTGATGCGGAAAACGGCAACAACATGTTACACCCTCTCTCTCACATGCCGTTTTCTACGTCGGTCCGAGCGCACATCTCGATCGACTCCTGGAGCTCGCGCTCCGACTGCTTCTTGCAGGCCTGCGGAGGGACGGCGCGTCAGGCTGGCTGCCTGCCCGCGTGACTGGATCGCATCTCCGCGTGACCGATGCGCTCCCAGATGCGCTTTGCGGGGAGGGGAGGGCCGCGAGTGCAGCCGAGGCGGGGAGGCCGGCGCGCCTCCAGGTCGGCCAGGTCCGAACTCGCGTGCTCCTCCTTGGTGACGTCGTCCTCTCCCATGTTGGTGGTCTGCGGGTCTTCGCCGACGTTCGGCGTTCGGAGCAGACGGCGTCTGTTCACAACAGGAAGTTCAGTGATCAGTAGGCCCTGGTGCTGGGCGACGCCGAGGGGGGCTAGCGGGGGGGGCGCTGCCAGAGGCTGTGCCGAAGTCGGTGCGGGCGACGGCACCCAGGCTGCCAGCTCCTTGTAGGAGTTGTAGATGATTAGGATTCCTAGGTTGGTCGGGCGCAAACAAATGACGTGTGAGTGTTAGAGTTGTTTGGTATTGCTAAAAATCTCTCTCTCGGGCGCGATGCCGCCCTGCCTGGCTTTCGACAAATTATCGACGTTTCCGTTCTTGACATGGAGCGCGTCGTAGTACTGTCCCTTGTACTCAAGAGGGATCAAAATCAGCTGGTCGGCCGCCATTCGGGCCTCCCGGCCTGCTGCGGCGGCGCGGCCGGTTGAGGCGGGGCTCGGCCCGGCCCGCGACGGCTGGCCGCCGACGAGCGCGCTCGCGCTGCTCGTCAAAATGGCGGCGGTGGCGATTGCGGCGACGGTCGTTCAGTCGTACAGCGCTCAGGCGCCTCTCGTCTGTCGTCTGTTGTCGCATTTCGCACACGCGCGCGCCGCGCGACCCGCGTCGCTCCGCGAGGGCATGAGCCTTCCGCGATTCGATCCCGCAGCCAAAAGCTGCTCGCTCGAACCGGCCGACTCTACCATCGCGGCTGCAGCTGTTGAGCTCTCCAGAAGACTGGTGCCTCATATGCTGCCTCCCTGCGGATGCTGCCGGCGAGCCTGGCGGTCCGCTGTACTACAAGGAAGTGCTGACTCGATTTCTACTCGAATTCTTCTACCCCCACGACTCGGAACGCGAATGTGACAGGACCATCGGGTCCTTCGGCCACCAAACCGAGATCACCCGAGAGCAGCTGAGCCTGCCTCTGGCCTCGCCTCCCTCTCCTCCAGGCATTCGTGGCATCCTATGGGTCGTCCAGAGTATCGACCTCTGGCTTGTCAGCCAGCCCCACTTTGAGGGCGCCATGAAGTAAGCCCCACTTTGAGGGCGCCATGAAGTACAGCGATCGCCATCTCGCTGACCTCTCCGCAAGGCCCCCCGACCGCGTCGAACTCATCGGCGCGGGCTCTCTCGGCTACGGGACCGGCCCCAGCTTCGGCTGAGGGCTGACAAGCTGCCGAGCCCAAATCACTGTGAGAGTCGTGATTTCTTGTTGGTTTTCTCAAATCTCTCTCTCCAAGTGCTCCTCTTGTGCTCTCTCTTGACCCACCCAGCCTTTGCCGGTCGCATGCGACGAGCGGGCCCTCTGAGATTCTCTTCTCTTCGGCCCTGTGTGAGTCTCTTCTTCGTCTCTTCTTCTCCTGTGTGTGTTTGCTTGTCCTTGTGTGTGGCCGCGCTCTTTCTTTTACTTTGCACCCACAACAACACGGAACCTTGAGCAAGGTTTGGTGAGAGAGATATTTTGCAATAATTGGCGCACAGCATCCGCCGTGGTGCCGCCGACCGAGCCCTGCCCAGCCTGCCTCAGTCTCTGTCTCTCTCTCGTCTTTGTGCGCAGGCACCTTGATTTCGTAGTGAATGAACAAGATCGCGACTGCAGTGGAAGAGAGTGGGGCTCTCTCGGCTACGGGACCGGCCCCAGCTTCGGCTGAGGGCTGACAAGCTGCCAAGCCCAAATCACTGTGAGAGTCGTGATTTCTTGTTGGTTTTCTAAAATCTCTCTCTGTGCAGTGGAGAGTGGTTCCCCGCCATCTCGCACATGTCGGTGACAGGCTCGGACTGGACACCAGCGCGGCATGTCTGGAGGTGGCAACGCAAGTCCTCCTGCAGCAGAACCCCTCTCCGCTACCGAGGGAAAGCCCGAAGACAGCTTGGCCGAGGCAGGCGCCTCCAAGCGGCAAAAAAAACAGCATCGGCCAGCGAGACAACCAGCTTGTGTATGGTCACCCCAGCCCCTGTGGCCGCGACGCGGCCGCAGTCGGCGGAGACGCCCTTCTTCGACTCGCTCGACCTCGGCGGCGGCTTGCCAGGCGCGATGCCGCCTCCGTTCGCCGACGGGATCCTCGCCCGAGAGGGCGTGGTGGAGCACTGCGGATTTTTGCTGGAGGCCTTCTGTGGCGCCCACCGCGTCTCCTTCTTCGACAAGGCAAGCGGCGATCAGCGCCGCTTCGACTACGTCCTGGCGGTGGAGGGCTTCTCCGAGGCGCGCATCTCCTTCGTGCCTGTCGGGCCCGGAGAGCACTTTATCGAAGTGGCGCCCATCGAGGGCGCGGCGCAGCGGCCGTCTGCGCCAGCCTGCACCTTCACCGCGTCTCCGACCGCGCTGCTCACCCTGCTCGCCGGCGGCGCGGCCGACCTGCGCCCCGACTCGCTTCCGGCGATGCAGCAGTTCCTCTCGGCGTTCCGGTTTGAGGGCTACGACGGCTGGTGCCAGTCCAAGGGGCTCACCGCCCTCCCCCTCGAGCCGGCCGGGAGCCAGACCGCAGCCATCGAGCAGGCGCGGCGCGTCGCCCTCAAGGTGGCCGGCGCGGCCGGCGCAGCCCTCTCGGCGGCCGCAAAGGCGAGCGCCGCCGCCGCCGAGCGCGCGCGCGAGGCGTCCGCCGCCGCCGCCGAGCGCGCGCGCGCGGCGGCGGCGGCGGCGGCGGCGGCCGAGTCGCCGCGCGGCGTCTCCCCTCGCCGCAGCGTCTTCGGCTCCTTCCGCACGCGCAGCCAGGCGGGCGGCGGCCTCGCGAGCGAGCCCTCCTCCGGCGCTCCCGCCGACGGCGCTCCCGCCGAGGCGTCGTGGCGGCCAGACCTGCGGCAGGCGGGCAGCTGGCTCTCGGGCGTCGCGACCAAGGCGCGGTCGGCGGCGGAGAGCGTCAAGGCTGCCGCGGCGGCCAGCATGGCGGCCTCTGCGGGCGAGGGCAGCACTCCACGCGCCGCCGATTTCAGCTTCTTGCGGCCGGGAGGCGCGGGAGGGCAGGCAGCGAAGGCGGCGGAGGGCAGCGAAGGCGGGGGCGCGGAGGCGGAGGAGCAGCAGGAGGCCGCGGTAAAGCCGGAGGTCGGTCTCGAGGCGGCGGCAGCGCCCAAGGCAAGGGTGGCGGAGGCGACGCCCGAGGCGGAGGCGGCGGAGGCGGTGAGGGTGGCGGAGGTGGAGGCTGCGGCGGCGGCAGCGGAGGTCGTGGCAGCGGAGAAGGCGGCGGCGGAGGAGGAGGCGGCGGGTGCGGCCAAGGCGGCGGAGGAGAGAGCGGCGGCGGAGACGGCGGCGACGGCGGAGGCAGCGAGGGTGGCGGAGGAGGAGGCTGCGACCAAGGCGTCAAAGGAGGCGGCGGCGGCTGCGGAGGCGGCGAGGGTGGAGGAGGAGGCTGCGGCCGCGGCACAAGCAGCAGAGGCACAAGCAGCAAAGGAGGAGGCGGCGGCCGAAGCTGCGCGGTTGGCTGCCGAAGCGAAGGCGGCGAGGGCGGCGGAGGAGGCCAAACGCGCCGCTGAGAAGGAGGAGGCGGCGGCGGAGGCGGCGGAGGCGGCGGCGATTTCGGACAGAGGAGCGGAGACGTGACGGATGGGATGCGGGTCTGTCTGTAGGCGACTGAGTCGGCAAAAGTGCCGGAGGAGGCGTCCCCTGAGGGCAGCCCGCCCGGCGACGCTGAGCCCCCCGCATCTGCTCCTCTGATCGACTTCTGAAGCAAGGGCGACCGCACGAGTCGGTTCTAGCAGGTCGAGATTTTGCTCCGGTCGAGCTGCCACGTCTCTTGGATTCATCGGATTTGGTGGGGATCCTGTGAGCCGTCCGTCAGTTGGCAGTCTCCAATTCTACACTAGTAGCGAGAAGCGCGGTGCAATGTGAGTCCTCGTGACGCGCCAGAGTCCTGTGCTGTATCCCCGCCCCCCGCTGCGCGATGCTCGCGGAAGACGACGGAAAAGATATGCCGCGAGAAAAAAATTGATCGGCGCACACTTATCTCGGCGCCCGCAGAGGGACAGGGAGACCCAGGGAGTGGACACCCCCACGCGCGAGAGCCTCCGAGAGAGATACCGTACTCCGTAGCTGGAAAGCACACATGAACCGCCACACGCTGCGCGCCGAGACATCACGGGGCTTTTCGTTTTGAGCCGGTTGCTTTCGTGAGCAGGAGCATCAGCGCCGCCCCACCCCCCGGCAGCGCCAGCAGCCAGAAGCCATAGTTTTCCACCGCCACCCACACTTGGAGCGTCTCGCTCCAGCCGCGCCGGTTGAAAGCGGCGCCGAAGAAAGTGAGCGTCGCCATCGTCCACCATTGCTGCAGCACGCCGCAAGCGAGCCTCGGTGCGGCTGGCCATGTGCTGCGGTCGGGCAGCCGCGCCTGCGGGCCGCACGGCTGCGTGAGCGAGGAGCAGCGAGGGTTCGGGAGCGCAGTTCGGGCGCAGCAGTTCGGGCGGCGGCGCGCCGCTGCCGCGGCGGCTCGGACGAGGCGCTCGACGAGCACCATCGCGAAGAGGCCGGCGAAGAAGAGGTAGTAGCCGGCGTGCATCCCGTGCCAGAAGGCGGAGACGGCAAAGGCGCCCAGCCGGCGGGCGGGGCGGGAGGGCAGCTGCAGCCGGGTGTGGACGTAGGCGCGGAGAAAGCGGTGCACCTCGGCGAGGGGGAGGAGGAGGGGGGGGGGGGGGGCCCTTTCCCCGGGTTAAGGGGCGGGCCCAGGGGCGGGCCAAGGGGCGGGCCAAGGGGCGGGCCAAGGGGCGGGCCGAGGGGCGGGCCAAGGGGCGGGTTGAGGGGCGGGCCAAGGGGCGGGCCAAGGGGCGGCCGTTTTCCCCAAAACTTTCCAAAACC